CAGGGATTAAACACTCAGAGAAGGGCTTGTGGGGTGTCCCAAACATGGATATTTGGGTGGTGTGGCCAACACCAACACAAGAGATAACTAGAGACAACATCCCAAACACCCCTCAGGGCTGAAAATGAGATTTAATCAGTCCCTGGGTGCTGCTTTTGGCTGTCATTTCTACCCAGGGCTGTAATTTGTGTTCAAGCCCCAGAGGATTTCAGCCTCCACAGGAGCATCCTGAGCCCTTTCCTCATTTTGGGCTGGGGACAGCACCCACTTACCCCAGGGCACGTGCTGAGGGTGACTGAGGTCCTGTTGGCACAACACTTGGGAAAGAACGAGCGGGATTATTGTTATGAATAACAGTAATTATTGGGCTATTATCATTATGGTAAAGATCTCACATCTCAATGACTGGAGCCTAACAGCCCTTTAAGGAGTGGGTATCCCTGGCTGCCCTGCCCTCTACCTCCTGTCCCACATTGGAACATCTCCTTTACTCCTTCTCCAGTCCCACCATGTCCCCATGACAGGGAGAGATGGGAAAGATGTTGGACCCAAGATTGCTCTCAAGTCAAGAGCAGCCAAGACTGAACACGATGTTCCTCATATTCCTTTTTTTTTTAAAGCTCGGCCTCTCTTCATATATCAAAGCTGAGCTTAAACCACAAACAGCTTAATTTTCCAATTTCTGCTTAATATTTGCCCTTTTCTATATCTCACACCTTCCCCACTGGAGAAGGGCTGTAGGGAGAGTGTTATCCTGCTTCCCCAGGAGCAAAAAAATATCAGTATATTCCCCCCATGGAGCAGGTCAGGGTTAATTGCTGCAGGTCAAAAAGCAGATCTGGGCTCTCTGCATCAACCCCATTTCTCCTGCAGCTCCAGGGCCATTTGTGGATCACTGAGGATTCACTGGAGGGTTGCACCAAGTTTGGCTGGTGTTCTCCCACAGCTCAGGCAGTGATTCACCTACAAGTGGTTTGTATTTCACAAGGGAAAGGGCCAGGCTGAGTCAGGCCAAGGAGTGTCGGGTGGTGACACCTTCCCTGAAAGAAAGCCCTGCTTTTTGGAGTGGGAAATCCATCGTGAGGTGCCTGATGCTCCCAGGGGGTATAGGAAGGGGCAGGAGAGCTCTGCAGCACCTGGCTGTGGGAATCAGGCAGGATGGGAATGTGTCTGATTCCTCCTGGATCTGTCACGATGGTGGGATGGGATGAAGGGGAAAATCACTGCAGGGTAAGAGAGAGGTTGTAATTCCCACTCCAATTCTGGGACCTGCAGCAACAGAGCCGGGATGTAGGAACAGCTGTGAGCACAGGATGATCCTGCTCTAAAAAAATTAATAAGCTCTGTGAAAATAAACAAAATCTTTCTAGAGGCAGCAGACAGAGCTCCTCACACACCCTAAAAGCTTCCCATTTGGGATGGGGATGCTGTCTTTTGGGAAGGCAATGCCTGGAGAACCCCAACGTGCCTGGGGTTAAAACACAGCACAAAGGCTTCCCCTCAACATGTCATTTGCACCATTTTTAAAATAATTTTAAACAAAAAGCATCTCTTCCTACTGGCCATGGGGAGGGGGAGAGGGATCCTTGCTGAAATGCGGGGTTTGGATAAAAGGGATGGAGCTGGTTCCTCCCTGAGCTGAGCTGTCAGTGTGAACACATGGGACCAATTCTGGCTAAAACAATCTACAAACAGGGGTTTAATCATTATTTTTTTCCCCCTCTTGGAAATAAGGGAGTAACTATTCCTGGAGGATCAGGTGGTTGCAGCTGCTTTCTCCCAACAACTTCATGTACTGGGGGGACGTTCCTAAAGTGATTTCGTACTTAATTGACCCAAGCCCCTTTACCAGCAGTCCTTATGAGCTGTATCCCTGTATCCTTGATTCCTTAGGAGCTGCACAGTGAGTTTTTTCCTGTACCCTTGATTCCTTACACGTGAGGTGTGAATCATCCCTGCTCGGGTGAGAACGTGGTCCAGCAACGTGCAGCAAACAAGTCAAGGCCAATCTTGATTTTCGTATCTCGGGTGGCTCCTAAATAAGCCACACGGACCATGAGAGGTCTCTTGGGTCCTAGGATGTGCTGGATGTGCTGGGAAAGCTGCCCCTGGAATTTAATAATTAAATAATTATTGTGAATTTATTTCAGGAACCTGGACTTGATGCTTTCTGTACTCATTTCTGATGCTTGTTTGCTTGGAGAATGTCCCATCCAGTCCTTGAGCTCCATGGAGTATAAACTGATAAGGAATAACTCCCTGAAATGGAAACAGGGCTGGTCCAAAAGGGAAAGCTGAGGCAGAGAGGGAATTCTCCAGGATATTTGCTTTACTGCCAAAGCAGACACGAGTTGGGTGCTGGAGGCTCATGGTCAGAGGGTTATTCCTGCTGGGGAGTTGGAATGGGCCAGGCTGGCAAAGCCTGTTGGGACATTCCTGAAGGAAAAGGAGCTCAACAGACAAAATTGGCACATGGGACTCAATCCAGGTCTGTGGGACTGCAATCCCAAAATGAACCCAAGTACATCCACCTGGCTCCACCATGGTCTTGCTGAATGATCCAGGTGTCCTCCCCTGCCTGAAAAACAAGTGGAGCAGATGCGCATCCAGGGAGACAAATCACTTTTCCCCGTTGGAAAAAGTCCAGGGAATCTTTTATGGCACTGAAACACTGCAGCTCACGGTGCGTTTATGCTCGGCAGCTCCAATCCACAGCCTGTTTGAAAACACTTGCAGGCAATTGCAGTGAAAGACAAAACACAGGAGAAACTTGGCTGGAGAGCTGGTCGGAAGCATCGGGAGCAGGGAGAGAGGAGCAGGAGGAAGGCTTGGGACAGCTGTGGGAAAGAGCCCTGCAACACTTCCAGAAGGGCATTGCCTGGCTTGGAGAAGGGAAGTACAAAGGGAAAAAGCAGCAGGACAAGGAAACCATCATGGAATACAAGGGGGAAGGTCAAGCTTCCTATGTTTATGGAATAGCCAAGTGGTTTGTCCAGGTCCCAGGTGCCTGAGGGGCTGGAGCCTGGAATGAGCCATGGAAGTGACAATGAATGAACTGAGGCCTCGTCACCTGCAGGTGGGAGGGCTTGGTGTGTCCCCACCGCGGACAGGGCACCCTGTTCTCCCTGGAGTGATTAATCATTCCCAAACTCAGGAAGGATCACCCAAGTCCAGCCCAGTGTGAACAGCTGGGATGTCAGATCGCCTCGGGAAGCTCTTGCCCACAGTCAGGGCCAAAGCAATCCCACAGCTCACAGTGCCTCTTGTGCATCACAAAGGATTTTCCCCCAAATAATGTCATTGGAAATTATCTGATTTTTTTTTTTTTTGAGAGGGGGGGTTGACTCTGTTGTCCAGCTCCTGGACAACAGTTAATCAGTTTGAGTAATTTTACCCACTTTGAGGCATTTTCCCTCAGTCTTCTCTCTTACTTCTAATTTAATAACACTCCCCCAAAGTCTTTGCTGACTTCCCCTGGAGCTCTTTGCCTTTGTGCAGCACTAAGAACATTGGAGCCTCTGTATGTGGTCAGCCTGGTCAGCTGAAACTTTCCAAAACATTTTCCTTTTGTTCTTGTCCCTCCCTAGGTCTTCTGGGGTTGTTATTGTCAGCCATTAGTCCCTCCCAGGCTATTCTGCTCCACTGTCAGGCTGTTCCCACCTTCTTTTCAGCCCTGGCTTGTCCATAAATCTCTCCTGTGCTCTGGGCAGGGAGGTACTCGATGAGCCACCTTTATTTTCCAAAACACATTTGTGGGCCTTTGCAAAACCATCCAGAATAGCTCTGAGGAGCTTATTGCAACTGTAATTGTAAGAACACAGTTTATAACCTCCCTTTAAGATTCCATCTCCTCCTTGTCTTATAAACATCAGTGAACAAACAGTGATCACGTTCTGCTCCTGGTAAGTTTAAGAATCTGCTGAACCAACTGAATGGGTAGAAACAGAATTATTTGGCTGCTATAAACTTTACCAGTTCCTGCAGCAGCAGAGCCTGTTTTTGCAGAAGACCTGTGCCAACACCAACAGAGCAAACCAGGGTTCCCATCAGCTGTGCTGTGCTGAAGCTGTGCTAAAGTTCCCTCAGAGGGAAAAGCTGCACAAAGGCACTGCCAAGGTGTAACATCCTTCCTTTGCCAGGGAGGCGAAGCTGTGGAGCAAAAGCTGAGGGACTGCTGGCACATCAAGGCTGTGGCTGAAGGGGAAGAGATCTATTTTTGTCAGAAAAGAGACTGAGAAGGTCAGCAAGGCAGCCTGGTGTTCCTCCCAGCTCCCCAAAACTCCTTAACAGTTCTCGTGTGGAGCTTAACCACTCAAATGACAAAGTCAAAACATGGTGGGGTTTCAGCCTTGCACTGAATTGAGAGAACCTTTAGAACCACAGTCATAAAAACCTGGTTTCTTGTTACCTGTTCCCTGCTGCCTTCAGGAATCACAGATCTGGAGGGTCACTGACTCCAAAGGGGTTTTAGCATTTCCCAGGCTGCTGCACAGCAGTGCTGGAAACACTGGTGCATCCACCCGTGGGAACATTAGAGCTGCTCATCTGGAGAGAGGACTGTTATATTTCACTTTACAGTGCTTTTAAAACAAGGTTTGCTCTTTGATGTGGCTCAAAGGCAGGTGAGGTGCAGGACACAGAACAAACCCCACATCAGACCCTCCTGTACTTCACAAGGCAAGACAGTTACCCAACCCACCATCAGACCTTGAGTCCCTTGTAAGACACTACTACAAACCTCTCCAGGCTGTTTGCTCCTCAATTCTCCTCCTCAGCAGCAAATCCAACTGCCAGGAGTGACATCAGCACCCATGGAGGTGAGAACAAAAACACTGCACCTTCACCCCTTTGCTAATTGCCAAATCACAGTGCGGGGCCAACACCAACAAAAGGCATCAAATAGGCTGGGGAGTTATTCAGCCTGTAAAATTATTGTTATTCTTCTTCTTTCTGGGATGGGACTGCATTAGGATTGCGGAAATTCAAGTTCAAACAGAGACGAGGAAGACAGGGAAAGCTTTATTAGATTCCAGCCTCACCATGTGGCAGCTGGTTACAGGAGAACAACTGGTGGGCAGGGGAGGTTTCCAGCATGCACAGGTGGGTGAGAAGGGCAAGGCTGTATTCCAAGCACGAGCTTGGCTCCAGGGCAGGGCATGCACATGGGATGCAGGTGCTCAGCAGGCTCCAGAAGTGTGCAGGGTCTCTTGAACATGCATTTTGCTGAAGCTGAAAGTTTTATCAGAGAGAGAAGATAAGTGTGATGCGAGTAGGACCCCTCTGAGAGGGGCTGTTGCCATGGGAGGCACAACATGCTTTGGATACAGCCTTGGTGAGAGCGGGGTCAGGACAGGCCCCGTGATCCAACATGCCTTGGAGAGGGGAACATGGAGCTCCTGCCCACAGCCAGGTGAAGGAAGGTGGGAGGTCCCTGCAGGGCAAGGCTCGTGTCCCACAGGGGAACCTGCACACACAGTCAGTCAGTCAGTGCCCAGTGCTCCCTCACTCACTGGGAGCCTTTTGCTTCCTGTGGCTCCTTGTCCAGACTTAGGGCTGGACAGAGCAGCAGCTCTGAGCCCTGGGAGAAGGAGCTCCAAAAGAAAATGTGGGAAAGAACTTGGCATTTAGGCTACTTCAAGTACTAGTCAAACCCAGCTTACCCATTTGTTCGATTTATTGAACTTCAAAGAGGTGCACGCTAAAGCATTAAGATTTACTGGTTTGGATTCCTCTCTGTACAAGTTCTTTCAACCAGCTTGAATGCACGAGGCTTTACAGATAGAAGTGCTGAAATACAGGATAAAACAAATCTAAACTCCAAATCACTCCATGAAGAAAAATTGTAGAAAATAAAAAAACAAAAAGAAAACAAAACAAAACAGAAAAACCCAAAACCAAACCAAAAAAAAAAAAAAGGAAAAATAAAGAAAAAATCCAACAAAAAACTGCAGCACTCCTCAGGGAAGGGACAGACTGCACGAGAAGGAACACAAAGGGGTGGAAGGCAAGCTAGTGTAGTCTCTGCCAAAAGCTTCTCTGTGCTGGCTGCTCATGGGATGGAGTTCAAAAGATCCTTGAGGAAGCTGTCGGGGTCATTGATTTCTGACAAGAGTCCTTTAAACAAAAGAAGACAAGACAGAAGAATTAGATCCAAAACACTGCTTCTCCTGCCCACACTGAGGATTTGTGCTGGGCATGTGTAAGTAAGTCACTAAGGACAGCTGCAATCTTATTTTAAGTCTGGATACAACGAGGATAAAAAAACCCTTGTTGGATTCATGAGCAGAAGGGAGGGACTGAAATGTGTGCATTAAATCCATACGGCACTCGCTCTTGTGCAGCTACAGGGATCCTGCTATGCTCCATACATTGAACAGGAAGAGACCTGAGGCACAACTCTTGACAGAAGTAAGAACAGCTTCTCTGCATGTTTTCAGCATCTCCTGACTCCTGGGGGTACCAAAATCCCTTCAGCAGGAACACTGGATGCACCCAACTGCTGCCTCCAGTGCATGGTCACATCTATTTATCAAACCACACACCCCTCAAAACACCTTCAGGCTCTAAGTCTGTATGTTTAACAGAGCAGGGGGAGGACCTGCAGGATCAGCTGGGAGAGAATTTCCTGTCTGGGGATGCTCAAGTGCGTGTCCCAACTGTTTCTGAGATAGTTTAGGACTGCTGGTGTCTCCGCTCTCCCTGTCTCATCCAAACAAGCTGCAGCAGTGTCAGGAATGCTGCTGTCTCCAGTCACGAGTTGCACGAGGCAGCCTATAAAAGGGAAAGCACACACTTACCAGCCACATCCAAAAACTCAGAAAACGTTTCCACTGGCATGAACTCCTCCTGGAAGGTTTTCAGGGCCTTGTCTGCAGCTTCGTGTATTGGCATGTCGTTGTGTCGGATGAACTCAGCGAGAGAGTAGGACCAGCCTCCCTCTGTGTTACTGGTAGGCACCTTCTGAGAGGGGAACAGGAGACCAAATCAGTCTAAAAAATAACTATTTAAAACGGTAACTGCAAACCCTGCTGCCTTCTCCTGTTGCTCCTGGACTTGCATGCCCTGCCTCTTGCAAACACACCACAGAGAACAAGTTATCCCATGTGTGACTTGACCATCTTCTTGTACAGAACGAAACAAGGTCACAGGCATTTTCTCACATCAACTACTTAACATTCTTTAGAAGCTGCAGTTTTTTTCTTGTGGATGCCCCTTCCTCCTACCTTACCCAACAGTTTCCCTTGGAATGTTCCTGTTTCTATGAACAATGAATAGGAAAAATAAGCAAATACACAATACAGGAGTGCTGCCAACTGGCAAAGTCTCTCAATTCTTCAGATACTGAACTGCAAGGGGTACAATAAGCACAGGCAGCTTCCTGCGGCCTTTATGCTCTTACAAGGTAAAGAAGAAAAAGGAAGAAGGAAGAAATTCCTCCCTATGAGGGTGGTGAGGCCCTGGCACAGGTTGCCCAGAGAAGCTGTGGCTGCCCCATCCCTGGAAGTGTCCAAGGCCAGGTTGGACGGGGCTTGGAGCAGCCTGGGCTGGTGGAAGGTGTCCCTGCCCATGGCAGGGGGAGGAAGAAGATGGGCTTTAAGGTCCCTTCCAACCCAAACCATTCTTGTGATTCTGTGAAGTTTTGTGTTTACAAGGATCTTGGAAAAAGGGGCTTCAAAGTTTGTCTTCTATTTCAAATTCCTGTAGTTGCACAGGTTAGAAAGCTGAGATAGAAGAATTCCAGCTGATACAGATGAATTTCCAGGTTTTCCTTACCTTGAACATGTTGTAAATGAGATCGACAAGCGCCCAGAAGAGCAGGCCAGAGCGGTACGTTGCATATTCCTTCACTGCCTTATCTGCCAGTCTGGAAGACAAGAAAATCAATCCGGGAGTTGATCCCTTTATTATGTTTTGTAACCCATCTGATGAATAGCACAAAAGCTGAAACAGCCAAATAACCCATCAATAACACCATGGGAACAGCTCTGAGTGAGCTTTGCTGTGTCCTCCTGGACATGAAACAAACACTGGGCACCCGAGAGCTCTCTGTGCAACCATTCCTAAGGCTGGGAAGGCTCTTTACTCCAACTGTGCCTGGTGTAACTAGAGCAGGTCTGCCAACAAAACCTTATTTCACAGGAAGGAAACAATCACAGAGAGAAGTGGAATTGTGACTGCTAAGACTATGTAGAAAGTCAACAGCAAAGTAGGAAAAACAATTTACAGCCTTTGTTTGTGTGTTCACTACTTGGAGAACAGCAGATTCCTGAAGGAATATCTAGGATTCAGACACAGTCAGTGTCCATGTCAGAGAACATAATTTTGCTTCTAAACCACAAAAGTGTTTCTGAAAGACTCTGAGGAAAAATCCTTTAAGAAATGGAGGAATTTCCATTTAATATCTTCTTGGTTATTCTCTCACCAGCAAAGGACTTCTCTTGGAAATCCAGCATCTGGCTGCAGGAATGCTCCAAAAGGTGCAGAGCAGTGCTGGGATAACAGCTCCAAAGTTTACAGGATTAATCACAAACAGGTTCTGGCAAGGTGGAACCTCCTGCCAGCAGCTCTAATGGTTTTGGAATTTTCTTGCATGTGTTTCTCAGGTACATCTGCCCCATCACATGCTACTTCCTGCTTAACACTTAAAAGCTTTGGAAAAATAAAAAGCCCTTTTTTATGCATCCAGAACCAGCTCAGCTACTGCTGCAGCAGGTCAGCACCACAACAGGGCATCCTGATCACGGCCCAACTCCAATTGGCCACAGGTTGGGGTTTGTTTGAGGGAAATGAACATTTTTGGCTCTTATTAAAGGCTACATTTGTGTGTCTGTCCTTAAAACAGACATTTTAGTAGGTGGCAGCCTGCTCAGGCAGCTAAGCTTAATTATTTAAAGGAAAATCAATTAGTAAAGGTGACTAAATTTTCACGGGAGGAACAGCAACTTAGAGCGAGGCTAATTCTGGCCTCCCAAATACTGCAAGACAGGCTCTCTTTTTATGTGAATGGTTTTGATCTAATTGGAGTCTGGTCCTTTAATTGAAAACTAAAAGGCCCTTGTGGGTTAAGGCTGGTAGTTACCTTCTGGAACAGCTATTTCATGTAAGAGCTGTTGCATTTCATTCCTGTGAGCTGGTTCAGCTCATCAGGTGCACAGGGATTGCCAGCAGAAAGCCAGACATGGACACTTGGGAATATTTTAGAAAGGTCATGGTCAGGAGCAAAGGTTAAAAAAATCAAAAGGGTATTTTCCTTCCAAACTCCAGATGAAAGCTACATTGAAAAGTGTCCACAGGAGTTTTCAAGTTAGAATTCTTGGTTCAGTAATAATGAGCAGGTCACTTGATTCAGTTCTTTGGACCATTCTGGTAATTAGTTCTGTGTTTAAATAGAAAGTGTTTCTAAAACACAGGACGTGCTGAGCATCTCTCCCTTTGTTCTTGCAGACACCTGTGACACTGTCACTGCTGGTAGAGCCAGAAGCCATTTTTGGCTGGATTCTCCCCAGTTCTGTGTTACCCTGGCTGAGGAGCTGGATGGACTCCCTCCCCACAGGGAACGTGCAGGATTTGCTGCCTTCCCTTAAGTACAAGGGAACGCAGATTATTGCTGCATTTGCATATGATTTACGAGATTTTGGGGATCATGAGTTGATCCTCAGCTGCTTTGAAATGCCCTGTTGGTTCCTGTAGTGACTCCTCTCCATTGTCCCCGCACAGGTAACAGTGAGTCCTTGGGTCTCTCTAACCTTCACCCCCGTGTTCCCAGAATGGAGCTGCTCCCAGACATCCCCATCGAATGTGGAATGCTAATTTTAATCTTTCGCATGCAGACATGTTACTGTGGTGTCACAGCCACTGCCTCCTCTCTGCCTCAGACTACAAATTCAAGGTATTGGGACTTATCTGCAGAGCATTTCACCATCCATTGCTCTCTTCCTGATTTTCCACAAGAATAGATAAGCACAGACCTTGGAAATCAGAATTGCCATATTGCTATTTCTGAGAGCCTTTACCAGAGGAAGGCTTTGTGCTCTCTTAGTCTGCAGAGATTAAAGAAAGCCCTTGAAAAAACCTTAACATAATTCCCGAGCACTGTTTCTGAGTGCTCCCCTAAAATTCCAGAGCTTGGATGGTTTTGGAAGTTTTTTGCTGTGTCTGTTTCAATCAGCTTTTATTGCATAATGCCTGGAGAAGGAACAGTCGTTTACTGAGGGTTTAAAAAACACCAAACACCCACAGCAAACCCACTCAGGGGCTTTGTTTTCCCAGCCCACACCTTTGTGCCTAGTAAAACAGGACAACATCTCCTGGATCTGCTAAACCCCCTTTCCCAGAATTCAGGCAGGGAGGGGGAAATAGGAGACAGGTTGAGCTTGAAACTAGCACAGGGCTCTCTCCCTTTCCCTCTTCCAAGAGCATTGGCACGTGCTGGGTTGTATGTAACTACACTGTAATGACTTTATCAAACACATAATTAATGTCATCAGCATAAGAATGCCCTTTAAGGCGACTTAGAATAATAATGAATTGATCCCTAATTATGACAGCTATTTAAAATCATCTTTTCAGAAACTGGAATTCCCCTTCCCTTTCTGGAAATACGTGCCTTTGTCATGCAGGCACAGCCACTTATTCTTGTGCTTCAAGTGCCTGACAGCTGCTATTGATTTTTTTTCTTTTTTAAAAGCAATGGCATTTGATTTCTATTTCTATTTTCCTATTTGAGGGAGGCTGGTGCACTGATCAAAAGAGCACAGAAAGAGCTTCTTTAATAAGGCAAGCAGGGAGTGTTACAGCTCTGAGACAGCACACAGCAGGAGTTACTCCAGTGCTTCACTCAGAGGGAATAAGAATCTTCCCAACTTTTAGCTATACTCCTAGAAAAAGCATAGTTTCCATTGATCAGTTGATTGATCCACTCCAAAAACCACCCAGAATTAAATGCTCCTGCTCATACCAGCACTGGGATGTGGCTGCAGCCACTCCAGGCCGGACGGGGCTCGGAGCAACCTGGGATAGCAGAAGGTGTCCCTGCCCATGGCAGGGGGTGGTACTGGATGGGATTTGAGGTCCCTTGCAATCCAAACCATTCTGGGATTCTACAGCTCTGCAACTCTGAGCACGAAGCTACTCAGAAGGGTAAATATCTGGTGGTGTAACTACACACACTCCTTCCTTTTGCTCCCCATAAGCTGCAGGTGGCTCAGTGATAGTGACACGAGGGGCTCAGTGACAGTGACACGAGTGGCTCTCTGACAGCGACACGAGTGGTTCTGTGGTAGTGACACAAGTGCCTCAGTGACAGTGACACGAGGGGCTCAGTGACAGTGACACGAGTGGCTCAGTGACAGTGACACGAGGGGCTCAGTGACAGTGACACGAGTGGCTCTGTGACAGTGACACGAGTGGCTCTGTGACAGCCACATGAGTGGCTGACAGTGACAGTGACACGAGGGGCTCAGTGACAGTGACACGAGAGGCTCTGTGACAGTGACACAAGAGGCTCTGTGATAGTGACACCAGTGCCTCAGTGACAGTGATACAGTGGCTTTGGGGTGGTGACTGACCTGTTGGCCCCCCCTGGTGACACCACCCGTGCATGGGAGGTGACCAGGAGCCGTTTGAGGATCTCCACCCTCATGGATCTCCACTTCTCCGGGGGGGAGATGTGCAGTGCCAGCACCGTGTAGTAGTGGGGCCCGTCCACCTCGTAGGCACTCTCCACCCACTTCTCCTTGGGGTGCTCCAGGAAGCTCTGCAGGTTCTTCTCCTCCCTCGAAGTTGCTCGAGTTCTGGAACACAGGAAAAGCTTCAGCAGCTGCTCTGGCTCTGACAGGTTCATCTGCTGCTTCCCAGGAGCTTTAGGGCACTGTATCCATGCAGTCCTGCACAGGGAACAGCAGTGCCACCTGGGCAGTTTTGGCCCAAATTCATCCACTGGGTGAGGATTTGCTCCCAGTGGAGATACAAACCTAGCGACTCCTTTTCCTTGGAGAAGTTTGCAAGGCATCTGGCATTGCCCCAATAGAGTGTAATACATTACAGAGCTATTTCTCCTTTTTTTAAGCAAAAAATAAATGGAGTCAGGCCAGCAAGTTCATGCATTCGAGTTGTACCATTTCCATCAGACACTACATACGTGGCTGCAGCTCCTACAGCCACACCTGAGAATCCATTTATATTATTTATCTACTGCAAAAGCAATCCCTCAGATATACAGGCACTGGCCTGTTTTGTCAAACACAAAAAGATACTGTACTTAGTGCAAGCTTACATACATATTTTTTTTCCTTTCCCCTAGAGCTCCAGTCTTTTCAGGAGTTCCAACATCCCAGGACTAACTGTGTAAACTCTGCGTTCCAGCACACTTTGTGAAGATGGATCACACTTTCCCACATCTATTACTCTACTGCAGCAGGAAGAGGCTGCAGCCAGGTAGGACCTTTGATTTTACCTCCCTATCAGGTATAAAGCAGCATCCCAGCACATAAAACAGGATTGTGTGACCTTTCCATTTGCTGCATGATGCAACTGGCAGCTCTTTATTTTCTCCATTTAATATCAAAAACAGAATGCAGTTTTCCAGGGTTGCCCAGTGGGTTGAGGGCTCTCTGGTGCCAACAAGCAGCCAATGAGATGAAAAGAATAGTTTCACTTATCTGTCTCCCAAGGGACTGGGAAAACAATAGCACAGGGATCTGGAGATAGATATTAAAAATAATAGACAAATTGTATTAGAGCCAAAATGTTGATTAGTTCCAGGTAGGAAAGGGAGAGAGATTCCACTGCACTGCGTTTGGAGTAACCTTGAAGATGTGTGGATTTTAATATTTATACCCTCATCTAATTACTATTACTTACTACTCTAACTATTCAAATAAAAGATATATATGGGCAATCCATTTTTGCATGATCAGAACCAGCTCATGCATTCCAAAGCATTTGGGTGCCTATGGATCCATGTCATGCCAAAGCACTGTTTTATTGGTAAAAAATACTAATGATAATAAAAAAACAATAATTAAAAATATCAGGAAAATCTGATGGACCCGAACATGCAGGAGAATTCCAGTATGTCAAAACTGGAAACAAAACTGTGTTATTTTAATACCGAATAATATAATACCAGGGTTAAGTTTTCAGCTAACAATTACTTCACCATAGTGTCTCTTCTGTCTGCTCAGGAGAAAATTAAGCTGGCAGTGTTTCTTTAATCTAATAACCCTGTTGCTCACCCCAGAGGTAATAATTACATCTAGAATGGAAAGAGAAGCTAATTCCCAATTGCTTTTACTCAATAGATTCCCTGTTATCCTGCATGTCCAGGCAGCAACGCCTCACTCCAAACAATGTAAATCCCTAACAACCTACTTAAGATGTGCAATTGGGTTCCTCCTAAAACTTTTGTGTGATTTCCCATCTTTCTTGCCACATACTCGTAACAAAGCCCAGACTGCAGCACTCAAAGACCTTTTTGAGACTAAGAGTGAAGGCAGAGGTTGTTGCTAAGTGAAGGTACTGACGTGTTGAGGACGTAGAGCACCGTGTGGATGATGTAGGGGATGAGGTGGATGTTGCTCTCCCTTCCTCCCCCTCCAGTGTCTATGCTGAAGGATTGCTCCATGGCAAACCGCAGAAAGAGCAGTTTGATGTCATGGACGTTGAGCTGGTAGGTGGGTTCCCGCTGCCCCGTGCACTCCTGGAGGTACGTGTTGTGCCTAGAAAACAGCAGGAAGGGCTCCTTTAACAAAAACCTTAATAGAAATCCTTCTGCCACAGCACAGCTCTGAATCTGAGCAAGTATTTCACAGAAACAGAGCTTTAAAGAATGAACAGGCTATAAAAATGCAGCCCCTGCTACCTTGGATTAACCTCCCCAAAGGGAGGCTCTCTCAGCTTACTCTTACTCTGGCAAATCCAATTCCATGTGCAGACACAAATACACTCACCAATACTCTTTCCTCATGCCCAGGGTCTGGGATACAGTTCCCCAACTGATATGCATTCAAGATGTTACCACCCCTGATTTCACAGAATCATAGACTGGTTTGGGTTGGAAGGGGCCTTAAAGCTCATCCCATCCCACCCCCTGCCATGGGCAGGGACACCTTCCACTAGCCCAGGTTGCTCCAAGCCCTGTCCAACCTGGCCTTGGACACTTCCAGGGATGGGGCAGCCACAGCTTCTCTGGGCAGCCCGTGCCAGGGCCTCCCCACCCTCCCAGGGAAGGATTTCTTTCTATTATCTGATCTAAACCTACTCCCTTTCAGTTTAGGAATTTCTAATGTGACTGTACAAACCCAGCACAAGGTGGACCAGAATCCTGACAACAAAATCCTGATCTTCATCTGCTCCAGGTAAGAGGTGAGGTACCTCACTACCATCCAGCAGAGGTTTGGAAACCTACATTAGGGAATCTCTTGGTGTCAGACAGGTTTCTTTTGTAAAGCAGGGGGTCTCTGGGCCACAAATTAATCAACACTGTTACTGCAAACTGCATCTTCAGGAGTAACTGAGGGCAAAGGAGGTAATGAAATTATTTATTTATATGAAGTCAAGAAGCAAACAAACACCTGCACTTTTTTAGGAGATCCACTCTAGATAGCAGAACCTGAAATGGCTCAGTTTTACTGACTTAGCTGCCACCACCCTTGATTCCTTGGTTTTAAACGAGCCTCTGTGGCAATGTACTGACTCACCTTCCCAAATGCAAACCAGCTGGAGAAAAAGCTTTCTGTACTCACCGTGCTAAGCACGTAGCAAAAGCAGACTCTGGCACATGAGGTCCCCAGACTGGCAGGAGCCCATTGCACTTGGTGTTGGCATTTTGCAGGGCTGCACTTTCCCATTCCTCACGGCCCCGAGCGAGTCTGCATGAAGAGAGAGAGCCACACCCAGGCAAGTTAGAAGGATGCAAAAAAACCATCCAAAAAATGACAATTCCACAGCTTCTTTAAATTATGGACTTCACTCTCCAGTGTCCAGGCCTGACCAATATTAAAGCAGCCCACAACAGAGAAGCCTGTGGCTGTAAAGATCAACAACTAAGCAAATCCATCTTGAGTTCCAAGGTCAAGCGCCATGATCCTAAACTGCCCTGGAAAAGAAGTTGAGCCCCCAATGACCAGAACGTACCTCACAGCTGCAAGGTGACAGTCGTAGTGGACGATGTTGAAGTGAGAGACTGTGCTGTACCCTTGTTGTTTTCGTGGTTTGTTCTCAAACTCCTCAAGTGCCACACGCTTGGTGAAGGTGTAAATTCCCAGGACTTTGGTGGGCTGCAATGACAAAACACAGTTGTCTTCAAAATCATTCACTTCTGCAACAGCTCACATTTTGTGCTGTTTTGACACTGTACTAAATTTAACCTCTCTCAGTCCCAACCTCAACAGATGTTTTTCCAGCTTTCACTGAAAGCACTTCAAATTCCCAACCACCTCTGGAATTACTGATCTTAAGAACCAAACCTGAAATTTCCTCATCTCTGTGCCAAAATCCCAGCCCTTGTGCAGCCAGATACTGACTGGCAAGTCCCCTCAGCTGGTGAGAGGGCTCTGAAAAGGCATCTCTCTGTAACTGGAACCTGCATCTTCCATTGCCTGGAACTCGTGTCTCCCATCGCCCAGAACTTGCATCTCCCTTTACCTGGAACTTGTATCCCTCCCGGCAGATGCAGCAGGTCAGACCTGGCTCTTCTATCAGCTCCTCCATCTGTTTCAGCAGCGCAGTCTTGGTCACTACCTGACCCTTCTCATTTGTCTGGAAGAGAGAAAAGCTCAAGTAGGTTAAAAAGAACGATGAGCACCACCATCCCCACCACTGGAACTGGAATGCCCATCTTGTGTTTACTCTCCCAGGTGAACTGGAGGCTTGAGCTCTGTGATGTTTGTCAATAAATCATTTCACACAGTTCCTTGTGTGGCACTTTTAGCAAGACAGAAAGAAAAGGCCATGAGATCATCAGTTTGCTGGCAGTGCCACCAGACATTACCGTCATCCCCAGAGTGCCCAGGGCCTTCTGCCTCATGGCCATGGCCATTCGCTTCTTCTCTGCTCGAGTCTCCTTGCGGGCAGCGTCGATCTTCTTGTTCACCTCTGGGTGTTCCCTCAGTGCCTCCAGCAGATTCTCTGCCAGCGTCCCGATCCCCTCGTCACTAGAAACCTGCTCCAGCTTGTGCAGGTTGGTAATTGAGTCTGTTCCTATTAGCACCTAATGGGGATGGAAGCACAGCACTTTGTTCAGGAAAGGGGTGCCCAGGACAGTGGCTGTCCCCTCTAATCCCACCGTGACAACTGGGCAGCAGCACTGAGCTGCAACAACCTTTGGCAAGTGTCTTCCTTCCCTTTTTTATGCTCCTACATTATGAACCTGGGCCCTAAAACTGTGTATGAGACTGGGGCAATTTGCCTCTCCACTGGTTGTCACTAAGAGCTCAGATGGGAATGTTGGATGAAACATTTGTTCTATTTTGTGCTATGACATTGTGTTGATGTCTTAAAACAACAAGCAGGCCCCTAGAAGCTTATCATTACTATGTAGTTCACAGTCCTAAATTACCTTCTCTTCATACTGGTGTGTAAATCTCACACATAAGGAAATATTTAAGCATAGGAAAATCTTTAAGTCAAAATCTCTGACTCTTCCAGACTAGCAGATGACACTTGAAGCTGGTGTGTCTCTCCAAGCCCAACAAAAATCAGCGTAGAATCAACTCCCATAGAAATTAATCCTCAGGTACAGCCACAAAAGCAGAGTAACAAGCCAGCCATGTCCTCCTTGCCTTCCAAAGAGCCCCCTCACCTGTGTTGCAGGGTGCTGCGTCGCCAGTCCTCGGAGCAGGCGCAGGATAAAAGGAAGTGCAGGTCGAGATAAGAACTTCTTCCATATGTCTGCATCCAAACTGCACAGAAAACAAGAGGCAGCAGCTGAAGGACAGTCACCATTCCCAAAAGAGGCTTGGCAGCCACCCAGCAGCACAGCTCATGGAGCAGAGGCTGCAGGAAAGACAAGCTCCTTTCCCCTTGTGTCGCTCCTCTGCTAATTAACGAAGTGACATTCCCATTCCCACTTCCAGGCTGTGCATACTGGTAGACACAGTGTCAGCTCTGAGCCTTGAGATTTATGTTCATGAGTTGGCCCTTCCAGCAAAAGCTCTGTTATGGTGCAATGGGAGGGAACAGGCAGGAAACACAAGTACTGTGATATCCAAGGAATCAGCTCAGATGGGTATAAAACAGGAAGATTTCAGGCTTTTTAGCCCATCCTTATGTGCATTGTCTCACCAGACCTGCTGCACCACAGCTGTTCCAACTCTAAATGGGGACTTACTAACAGCTTCCTTGGAAGATTGTGGTGATGGAATGAGAGAAGCACGTTCAGGATAGTCTCACAGAGTAATCACATACATTAAGTAGTGTCTCTTACTTCTTTGCACTGGGAATGTGCTTTTTCATGTAATCCAGGGCATTCTGTGTAATTCCCTTCTGCAGGATGAGATCTTTCAGCTGATGGCCATTGCTGTTGTTCTTTATTCCTGCTGCTATTTTACAGAAGCAGTCCAGGAAAACTTTATCATCTCCACTGTGCTCCTCATCATACCTGAATAAAGAGAAGAAATGGTAACTTGGAGGCTCTCCAAAAACCCCTGCCTGTAATTCTCAGCACATTATTGCTGAATGATGTACCTACTCCAGTTCAGAGACTCAGAAAAGCTACTCAGACCCCTATCACCTCAGAATATACCCCGAAGACCTATTTCTCATGCTAAAGTGCACACATTTCTTATAAAAATGGCTTAGAAGTTAAACAGCAAATTAAGCTTAAGGCATCAGGAATCTCTGAAGCTTTGCATTACACTGAAGTAAGAATCAATGAGGAAAAAAAAAGGGACAGCCATGTCAGTATGACTGATTTCACATGCTTTTAGCTGAATTATGAACAACATACTTATCAAAGTTACAGTAGGGCTTGAATCGATCCACCAGGATCTGCATTTTCTCCATCTCCCCGAAGGACAGGTACGGGATGATCCGTAACAGGCCCTGCAGGACACTGAGGTTGGAGCGGACAAAAGTGCTGTTAATCTGGTCCAGCAGCATCACCAGCTGGTCCTTGTCACCCGTGAGGAGGAGGCTGCCCTGCGAAGGAAGAAGAGAAGGATTTATGTTCAGGAATAAATCTACAACCCTCAATAAAATCCTCACTAGCTGTGAGTTTTGAAGGATTACAGGTCTAGTCCCAAATAAAGGCAGCCTGATGAAGAACAAAACCCAGCCTCATTCCCAAAGATCTTGTGGAATGGCTGTATCAACCCCTCAAGCTGACACTTGACTTATTCCACCTACTGTTAAAGCATTTTCCAGTCAAAGTCTAATAATTCCAACCCAAAGGACATCAGATTCCTATCCTCCCATAGTTTCAAAAGGTGAGTGAGAAACTCTTTTCGTTCTCAGTCTAGCTGAGATACAATTTTATCCTCAACTAGCTGGAAAATCAAACACATTTTTAACACATACAAAAACACGGCCAAGCTGTGTCTTTTCTTGTCTGACTCTGGCCTGTGGCCCAAAGCAGGAAGGAAGGGATCCAAGCAGTGCCCAACAACCCCCACTCCGACTGTGCAAGACTCAGCCTAAAGAAGCCTCATAGTGCTTTTGGTTCAAGGCTCTCCTCATGCCCCTCCTCCAAGGCCTGCTAAGACATGCCAGTGTAACAAGGGTTAGACGCCCTGTGAACACTCCTCTCCAGCTCCTGCAGCTCAGCATCCCTGTAATCAGATTATATGGAAGCCCTGAATCCCAAACAACATTTGTATTTGTGCACAGAGCCCCAGGCACTCACCTTGTCCTCGCTCAGAGGTTCTGCATTGGATTCATCCAAAATGATCTCCATTATACTGAGCACTTGCTCTGCCACAGCTGCTCCTCCACTGTCCTTACTCTCCTGCTCAGCCACCAGAGCCTGGAAAAGATGGAAGGAGTTAGTGGAACACCAGCAGCAACTAGTTTAAAGAGATGGCAGCAGTTAGAGAACACCAGCATTAACTGGTTTAAGACAATGGCAGCAGTTAGAGGAACACCACCAGTAACTGGTTTAACTGACCCACATGCTCCCAGCCACTAACAGATCAGGAATGTCTAACATATAATTTGCAGTGCCATCACAGCAATATTTAAGATCTCTTGTAGTTGTCTTAAGGCAGTGCGGCAGAAGTAGCTTAAATTCATTGGAGTCCATGGAAAACAGTTTATGGAAGCCCAGGTTGTCCTTACCAAGTTCAGAGTTCCCAGCATCACATTCAAAGTATTCATCTCTGGCTTGACCAACTGCTGACGATTTATTTTCACCTTCACACAGTAACTAAACAGCTTTAACAGCACCTACAAAATACAGAGAAGGGATTCTCTATGGTACCTTCAAAATGAGCAGGAGAATTTTGCTGCAGCTAAAAGTACCCATAATATACCTGATTTCCAAACTTGTGGGGTAAAGTACAAGCCAGATTTTTACAGCAATATAATTCTTAGCACAGCTTTGGTTTTCAGGTAAGGTCAAGGCAGAAAATAATCACCAGCGAGACAGGATTTAGTCTTACCAACTCCTCAGCTTTGACACACCAAGTATTTGTAAGGAATTGTTAAACAAGAGGAACAGGAGAGGCAAAGAAAGGATTTCTCAGGTTTTCATTCAATAATGAATTGAAACCTCTGCTCCAACACAAGGCAGACTGTTTAAACTTCACTGTGGCATTTTGCATTGTGTAACTCCTGACCCCCCAGAGCCAAAGCTGGGACTCACAGTTAAGAGGTGTCGGCCTTGTTTGAAGTCCTTGATCCCAGTCAGTCTGTTGAGCATGCACTCCAAGCCTCCACACGGGGCCATGACTCCTGCCATCTTATAAACTTCTTCCTCATCCTCCTCTTCATCTACAGGACAGACATAAATTGTGAGGAGGGGAAGCAGCCACAACGTGAAAAAAACATGCAGCACACGGCAAAGAGTGAAGGAAAAATGGAGAGTACAACAGAACACATCTATCAGCAGTTCAAGTCACTTCAGTTGTACTGAATTTGAAAAGAATTAAGAGCAGGAATACGAAGAAGGGCTGGGAAGAATGGTCCCTGTGCCATGCAAGTGTTCCCATTTGAAGCATGTCTTTAAAGCCTTGTTAAAACCCTCCTTCACTTAAGGTGAAGCAGGTAAATGCAGCAAAAGCAGCATCAATCAACGTTAAGCTCACTGCTGTGAGGATAATGTCATTGCTCTGCAGAGAACTCAGATTTCAAATCTAATCCCAGCTTTCAGCAGACAAATGCCTTACCAGTGGTGGAGTCAAGAGACTCGATGAATTCCTCCGTTGCATCCCCCAGTAACCCCCGCATGCGGTAAATGATCCTCATCGGCTCCCCCTGCAAGAGCAGAGCTTTATATTAATCATATCTCTCTGGGCACTTATAGACAAGTTTGATTCTCATTACAGTATGTAACAGACACCCCAGCCTCAGTTCTCCTTCTCCTTCCCTGACACAGGGAAATCTTTCACTCCCTCATTCTCCCCTCACTGAGATGAATTAAAAACAACAGTAAAGCCACCTGCAAAAACATCAATAACTCATCCATTGGTCTGTCCAGCTTTTCTTGGCACTGCCAATTAATTGACAGGCTGGTAATAAACAGCCTCTTCCTCCTTACATCTCCTCCAAGTTTCTTTTGACACGAATGAAAGATGTAGCCAAGGAAAATGGGTTCATCTACAGATAAATGCCTGCTTTCCATGGCAACCTTTCCTCTGAGGGTATGGCACAGCATATCTGGGAAATACAGAGAATAGGCACAGCCTAAGAAATGAAGCAGGACAGGTTAATTGGGTGAATGCTTTCATACAGATAAAATCTGCAGTGATGGAAAATGGAAGAGGAGTAAAAAGCAATTTAATGAGCTTTCAGTAAGACAGTACATCACTAAAATGATACAGCCAAACAAGCTGTGCTTTTACCCTGGGAAAGGACTAGTTTTCCAGATGCATTTCCAGCTGGAAACACTTACAGTATATCACTAAACTTTCCATTTTTAATCCATAGGTCTGAATAAAAAGCAGAAAAGAAAAATCCCAGATTTGGGAGCAAGAGACCTTTCGAGAGAAAACCTGTCAGCGAGTGCGCTAAGCCTAATGTGGAATAAGCAGAGCTTAATGTCACAGCAAATACAGAACACAGGGAAAGCCCCGGGGGGAAGATCTGCTCAAAGGCCACGCTGGCGACCAGCAATTAACTCCACAGGGGCCCTGGTAAAATGGCAGATGAACAAAAAAAGCCAGTGAGAGACAAGGGAAACAAAAAGGGGCCTGAGGTTGCGTTCCTTGTGTGCCTGTCGATTCCCAGGGAACCGGAGCCGCGGCTCCGGGAGATGCTCACAAAGGAAGACAGATGAAAGCTGCTCATGCACAGGAATGCTGAGCAAAGTCTGCCTTCACCATCAGTGCTGCATCCTGGGAGAGCTGCACAGCGGCTCCAGCCCAGCATCCCATGGAAACAGCACCTCGCTGCTCCCAGGGGCTGGGGCAGCACAGGGGATGATTTCCATCAGTGACTTGATCAGAGTTCACATCAGAACTCACAGATTGAGACCAACACATCACTTCCCTATCCCTACTACTAAAGAATTATCACTGGCACAAGTTTTGGGCTTGATTTTGCAGTACTGAAGGGGTTTTTACTGAAATAAAGCTGAATTTTTACTGAAATTTTACTGAAATAAACCTGTTCCCCATAGCACCATTCACTGAAAACAGGCATTTTGTTTGATTTCTTCCCCACAAATGGTTTCAGGAAACTGAGGTTCCAAAGGTGATTAGAACGCAGGAGGAAATGAAGGATGAACAAGAAATGTTGGGCAAATCAGGGGGTTTTATGATCTGAAGTGCCTCTAAAAACAGATTTGTAATGGGCAAGATTTAATTTGATGGTCTCAGTGGGAGTTTATTTTAGTGGCTACAAGAAAAGGAAGGGAAGAGCTTGTTTTGGACCACATCCACCTCTGGAACAAGCCTACTGTGACATGGTGGACTAGACTCTTGAGGCTGTTGGGTCCATTCCTTCATGTGAAAAACAGACAACACACACTACAAACAGCAAACTGGGAGGATGAATCTGTCAAGTGCTTTCCATAAGAAAATATGCAAATATGGAGAAACATTGGCTGTTCTCTGCATAAATAACTTGGGTTCATCACTGAAGCACAGACTGATGGAGCAACCTGGTGTCCCTGTCTGTACACACACATTAAACTGTCGTGTGCAGATGGAGTGTGGAACGTGCTTTGAAAGGCAGTGACAAAGTTCAGCTCTTTCCCCAAAGGAATCTAAGGAAGTTTGTTATCAGGAAGACAGTCTATATCTGATACACTACACAGCTCACCTGGGGAACACTATGTGCTTTTAAATCACTCATGTTGCAGGACTGTGCACAATCTATCCTAATAGAGCACCAAACGGTGCTGACCAATTATACCAATAAATTATATGCCAAAAAATAAATTTATTATACCAATAAATTATATGCCAAAAAAATGACTTGTGAGACTATGATTTTTCCCCCATTTTTTTGTTAGTATGAAGGACAGGTGCTTTCTGCTGTTAACATGTATAAAGAAAACACAAACCTCATTTGTGGGACACCACACCTTCCTGTAGACCTCAGCCACAGGCAGATCCAAACTGATTATCTTATTGTTCACCAAAAGCTGAAAAGGATAAAATAACAAGTGAAGAACAGGCTCAAGTTGCACTACCATCCCAGCTGCCCAAAAATGGTGTCCCCACACATCTATGCAAGAAATCCACATGTGCATCCTCACCTCCATCCCACTGTCATCCTCCAGCAGAGCCACCAGGTCACAGTCCTGACAGATTTTGTTCTTGATGTCCCTCATGAGTGGCCCAATGCCGGGTTCGTTACTGCTGTAGGGATTCCCTGGCATTCTGCCCTGTAAGAAGTCTTCCTGCTGAGGATCTTTCTCCAGAGTTACAAAGAACTCAGTGACTTCATTCTCTTCCTAAAGAACAGCAGCAGAGACAGAGTGAATGAGTTTTTTCCCAACTCCGATTCTGGTATTTTTATGGCAGCAAGTGACAGGATGTCCCTAAACCTTCAGTCCTTCCACCACCTGCTGTACATTCCACACATGTGGCACTCAGAGGATATCCAGGATCATTCAGTAACCAAATTCCTCAGGAAGAAACAATACTACTGATTCTGCTTTTTTGCACAGAGCATGTCACAGCAGGGAACCTGAACAGTGACCCCCCAAATGGGACACACTGGGATACAGCTCTGCACTGGCTAATAGTAAATCATGATTGTAGACACTGTTGCTCTTTGCCAAAATGCAAGGAACTCAATCTACGGTTGCTACAGGCGGATGGCGGTGATTTTTTCCCTCTATCATGAGATCCCACCTGGAATACTGTGCACAGTTCTGGTGCCCCCAACATAAGGGGAGGGCACCAGAGGAGGGCATGAAGTACCTGAGGGGACTAGAGCACCTCCCCTATGGAGACAGGCTGAGAGAGGTTGGGGCTGTTCAGAATGGAGAGAAGAAGGTTGTGTGGAGACTTCACGGCACCTTCCAGGATCTGCAGGGGCTTACAGGGAAGCTGGAGAGGGACTCTGCATCAGGAACTGGAGTGACAGGGCAAGGGGGAGTGGGTTCAGACTAAAAGAGGGGAAATTTAGGTTACATATTGGGAAGAAATTCTTCCCTGGTAGGGTGGGGAGGCCCTGGTACAGGCTGCCCAGAGAAGCTGTGGCTGCCCCCGGATCCCTGGAAGTGTCCAAGGCCAGGTTGGACGGGGCTTGGAGCAACCTGGGCTAGTGAAAGGTGTCCGTGCCCACGGTAAGGAATGGGATGGGCTTTAAGGTCCCTCCTAACCCAAACCATTCTAAGATTCTACTTCAGAAGTGTGAGTTTATAAGTGACCTCCAGCCCTCTCCACACTTACAGGGTAGATAATGCTGCACAGTCTCTCGAAGATGAAGACTGGAGTCCTGTAGTCATCAAGGCTGTAACGCTTTGCAGTCTCTATACACACTGCCATAAATGCTTTGGTTTCAGATTCTGTGCCTGCCAAGAAAAGGAAACATTAAAATGGACACAGGAGCCACTTTTATAGGTTCTATTTAGACTCAGCACACACAATAAATCCTTCTGCAATCAGCCCCACACTTTGGTGCTCTCTTCTTTTGTGTATCCACTCCATAAAAGATGAAAGGCTATTTATTGGTATGGTTATTACTAGGAAAAGCCTTTGTATGGATGGGCTGCAGTGAAACAGTCCCATAAAAAGGAGGAGGCTTAAATTCCTGAAAAATAAGAGATGACCATGAGTGTAATCTACCTTTTCTGTGCCAAAAGGAAATATTGGAAGCCATAAAACCCCCTCACTACAGCAGTCATTTAGGTAAGTTCTTTGTGTGGCTGTAACAATCTGCTTTTTCATCTTGGTTGACCCAAACATTGAATTTATGGAACAGAGGTAGTTTTACCTGTTGTCATATCCTCCAGCATCTCCAGGAGCATGTCCTGGGTTTCATCAATCAGCTTTGTCCTCTGTACCACCAGCTTCCTCAGACACAGGTACCCGTTCAGGACCGTGCCCACGAGGCGGCTCTTGAAGTGCCGTTTGATGGACTCCACCTCCACAAAGGAGGAGAGAAGACCTAGAAAGCAGTGAAAACTCAGCAAGTGGGAGAGAATTTGGTTCGATTTCTAAATTTCAAGGCAGCAAACAGGGCACAATATCATAAAAATTACTTCTTCCGACTCCCATTAAAGTTCACTCCTGTCAACCAAATGGCTGGAGGCAAAAACCCCGGCCTGGGAGAAGTGTCTTGTAAATTATAAAACAAGGAATAATAGTTTCTGGAATGAAGAAAGGGTCTAAGGAGCTTTCTAAGTGCTTGATACAAGATTCTGCACACTCTGGTATTTTTCTGTTGCAAGATATTTCAAAAGCAGATGATTGTTCCTCTTCTAATACTTAAGTGAGCTCTGATGATGTGACATGACTGATCAGTGACATCACCAAACTGGCCACTCCTATCATAAAACAAAGAATCAGCAAACACTCAGATTCTTTCCCATGACACACTGATCAACATGCTGCTTCTTGCAAGAAGCCAGGCTTTATGAATTAGTCCACTAATGTCTGAAGAATTTGGCACAGGATACAAAAAAGAATGACCTTGTTAAAGAAGTATTTCCATCCCCAACAAATTTTTGAAAAAAGTATACACCCTAGAAGATTAAAAAAAAAACTCTCATAGAATAGGTAGGTAGGAAACAACAGGCAGGAATAAAGCAGCAGTGTTTACAATGGTCTCAGGGACCGTGCTGTATAATAAAGTGAAATAATGAAGTTTGCTTACCACAGTTCAACTAAAAACTCAAACTGACCACACAAAATATGGAAAAAGCCATTTAGAGATTAAGTGCTAAACTGATGGCAAAAATCCAGTGTCGACAATTGCAACACAGTGAATCACATCTCTTTGAAATTCTGCTACATGTTGGTACAGAATAAGGATCACCCCAACCCTAATCCTGCTGCAGGACTCCTGTTGGTGCCACCAAATACCTGTGAGACTCTTCAAGGCATATCCCTGCTGCAAATCAGTGCTGAGTGTTGCTTCCTCCAAGGCAAGTAAACGAGCTATTTCCTGAAAACAATTAACATTATAGTTAATAGAAATTAGAGCAAGAAACTGCAATGCCAGTCATGATTGGTGAGTGTCTAACAGAAGGTGCAAAGGAACCCAGCACAGAAACAGAGCCAGTCACAGGGAAAGCAGAATTGCAACGCAGCAGTGGGGAGGGAAAGGGGATAGGAGGGAAAACCACTCCAAATAACCTCCTTATTTTTTCCCTGCACCTACCTACTACCACTGCTTGGCTCTGGTGGCCTCCATCATGGACTCAAGGCCACCACTGACATGGAAAGTGTTACCTGCCTCTTTGGAGTGCACCAGGGATCCCCACAGGAAACTCCCACCACTCTGAACACTGCAAATTAAATGTGCTGCTTCTCCAATAGGCTGTAATTCCCACTCCAGGAATGGCAGTACACCTAATCCTCCCCTGCCTTTAAAGGCTTTTGGAGTCCAGCCTTGCAGCTGGACAACGGCTTCCAGCTCAGAGTCGGTGCCAAGGCAGCGCAGCAATATCTATACCCCTCAGCAGAGCTGCCCCCAGAGAAGTTCATTAAAGTGCTGAGGAATTCTAAAGCTGGGGCTAAAACCTCTGTGGCTCCTTCTGTTCAGAGGTAACAGCACTGAGGTGTGAACTTCAAAACCCTGGCAGGGTCAGCAACAGGGCACTGAACAAAGAGATGAAGATTTCAAAGCAATAAAAGCCAAACTAGCAGGTCAGTTCCTCCACACAAGTCCACACCTTGGTGATGAGGCTGCCAATATAGGGCAGAACCCCCCTGGCTGCCAGGTAGACCTTCCAGTGGGCAGGTTTGATGAGTTTCTGGTAAAGGGCCAAGTACTCAGCAGCACATTCACCAGCAATGCTCAGCTCATCCAGGTAGCTGGGAAAGAGAAACACAAGCTGACAACCATTTCACAGTAACAAGGGGCATTCCAGCTTAAAGACACCATGGAAAGAAAGAAAAAGCCTCCAGAAATCCATCCTCCCTGTTGTCCTTCCTAACACCATCACTGATATTCATTACTTGCAGGATAAATTGGTATTTTGTCCCCAAAAGAGTTCCCCAACTGTGCTATAGCATCAGCTGGTTTAAGTTATGTCACAGGAACTGGAAGAGAGTTCACCTTATTATTTTGCTGTCCTAGAGGCAGAGAAAATGTTGTCCAAACAGCTGAACACCAACTGCTTAATTCTGGAGAAAGTACAGAACTGCAACAGCTTATTGCCAGGCAGCAAAAAAAAAAAAAGTCTCCCTAAATCTACACCCTCCCAGCTAATCAAGCCTTAAAATCCAGCTCAAAAAGACCTGTGAACCCAAGGTATACAAGGTATATACAGTTATAGAAGGGAGAGATGTAAGAAAGGCTGGAAGAAGGGAGAGATTCTCATGGGAACTAGAGAAGGCCAATCCTGGAGCCAAGTGTGGCAGCACAGAAATACCTGGTGAGGAGATCGAGGACCTGCTGCTTTCGGCTGGGGATGGTGGCCAGAGCCTCCACGATGGTGCAGGCAGCCTGTCTGGCAGCCTGTGTGGCAGGAGTGAACAGCACCTGGGGCAAGGGCAGGAAAATACCACAGCAGTTTGATGTGCACAGATAAACCAGTGATAGCTTATCAAAAAGGCACTGCACACACTAGAGCTGTTTGGTGACTTGGTGGTAGCATTTTCTTGTTCTTCAAACGCTTGATACTACCACCAAAATGTTTAGATAATGCATTGTGTGGCTGATGTGCTAATCCACACACACACAGAAACATTTTTGCCCAGGACCCTCCAAAATGCAGCTGATTAGGCAGGGAGAAGCACTGTGGAGATTAAAGTTTCAGACTTTAAGGACATGCAGACTTCCAGATAAATATTTGATGTACTATTTTTAAGGGAAGAAAGCTGCAAATCTGACTCGGAATTAGAGGTAGTGAGTTACAGCCTCCCCAAATAACCCTGCACATGAGCTGCAGCAAACTACCAACACTCTGTCAACTCTGCCCATGGGAGTTCTCAGCCACGTTTACCTGTCGCAGCCAATTGTTGTGTCCCAGCTTGAGATCCAGAGGGCAGGTTCTCTTCCCACGGCGACTCATGAACTGTTTCCATTTCCAGACGTATTTTTCTGACAAGTAGAGCTGGTGAAGCTCAGCTTTGCTGGGAGATTTCCCGTTGGCATCTACACCTGCAATATTGAGCACAGCCCAAGAGAACTGTCAGCAGCTATAAACTGCAAACTGTTGTAACTGTCATAATTCCTATCAGACTTGCAGTGTATTTTTATCTTACTGGAACTCTCCAAACTCCAGCTGGAAAGCTGAGTGGCTTCGTATCTCTTTCTGCTGCCATTTTCACTGCTGTGTGAAGCCATGCTCAATTCCAAGCCAGATGCAAATCCCAGGATCTTTCAGGGAATTCAACCAGCTTTCCATTTGGCTGGTGTCAATTTAAATAAGCAACAAGTTTCAGTTTTTACATTTCCCTGATTATCTTCAGAGCACTTTCTGCTTAGGGTCTAAGCAACACAGCCTGGAAAAGTCAGTGCTACAAACTCTGGGGACTACCCAGCTGCACGTGAAGATGGGATCAGATGTCACGGGGCAGAAGCCAACACAACTCTGCAGAAGCACATTCCTAATTAAACCTGGAGGGACACACATATTCCTTCCCAAAACTGCAAGTTAAAAGCACAGAACTACCTCTGGCAGGGAGGCACTTTTTCCAAGCTTCATATGATGCTTTGGGGTCCCTCTTGAGCCACAGCTGAGCCTGTGCATGGATTTCATTGCTGTAAGGCTTCACAGTGGTGAGAGCATCCACAGGCACATCCTAATAAACAAAAAAGCTCTGTGATTACTCAGAAAACTACAGACTGTTCTCAAAGAGTAACTCCTGCAGGTCAATCACTGGGGCTGTGCCATGAAGAGGTAAATGCAGCTCTGGACAACAGCAGGGTCTGTTAATGATGAACTAAGAGATGCCCCATTCCAGTTCCTATTGAAATACCAGTAAACCGATCTCTGACATCCATCTGTGATTGTCAGACAGCCAAATCGCAGCAGAAACGTACCTTCTCTCCTGCAAATCTTATCTAAATTACAATGAAGAAACCACCAATCAATATATTTTTATCAGAATGTAGCTCTGTATTAAAAAATCTGAGACAAAAGTGCTTCCATCATGTTTAGGTACTTGATCGTACAAGCTTCTGAAAGCACTAAAAACTTGCCCAAAGTAACCAAGCTGTAGCTTTGAAGTAGCTCTTTCCCCTTGCCTCAGATCTGAGGGGAAAAAAGCAAAGCCTGGGTTTGAACAGTAGTGGTCAAAGTCAGCAAAAGCCAATAAAAAATGGAAAGCTGTCACCTGTAATCTGCAGTCTGCAAAGACAGAAGTCACAGGGCTTGCACTTCCCTTGTAACCATGACCAGGAAAAGCAAGCCCTGGCCTCCTCACAAAGTAATTAATCACTGAGCTCAGTGCCAGACTTTAATCAGTAAATTCTCAGATGCTTTGCTCAGCATCTAAGGCAGTACCTTGTTTTTCTTGCTCGTTGGAGCAGGTGGCTTGATGAGCTTTTGAAGAATGCGCAGGCACATGAGGGTGATGTTTTCAACAACCACTGGAGTCTTGATGTTCACTGCCATCAGGAAGAGGCTGAGAGCTGAAAGACAGACAGAAATGTTCATTCCACTCTGAGATCTGCAAATAGTTCACACATCTACAGCTCTATATAGCACATTAAATGTGTCCAGAGTTAGAAATCTCACTACAGTGCCTGAACCTCGGCACAGCACTGTAAAATACACCTTTCACAGTGGTCACTCGAACTCACCACAGCGCAGCCGAAGCTCCCAGCAACTGTCCTCCTTGGAGATGGAATCTGTGAGCAGCAGCATTTCATACTGGAGGCTGCTAGCCTGGAACACAGACACGTGTTCAAAGTGTTGGTGATGCCCCAGCCCTTTTTGCCTTCTGATACGTAAAAACCACAGGCTCAAAACACATGGATCTAAAAAAATTTAATCCTATGCCCATTTGAGGTGACTGAGAGCTGCAAGCTAAGCCGGGCAGAACTTCATGAGGAAACTTGGGCATGTACGTAATCACATAATTTTGTGCTCTACTCTGACATTTATCTTATTTCCTATCAAGGCTCCAATTTTTTTCTTACAAACAGACCGTAAGAGAGAACACGTATAATTAGAATACACCAGCAGTGCAGAGGGGCAGAAAAAAGAAACATGAAAACACTGGAGTCACTCACCAAGTCTGGATTTGCCCAGTGTCCCTTCAGAGCCGCAGAAACCTTCCCAATGATTAAGTCATTCATTTGCTGTGTGGCCTCTGCATTGTCCCTAATTCCAGAAGGAGAAAGAGAACACTGTTATGCTGTGCTTGTACTAAATACCAAAAGCTCCTGGGAGCCAATAACAAATGTACAAAGAGCTGGAGTGTAGTTTGTTGATGCAAAATATGCCCATGGCAAGCAGTTGGGACTAGGTGGTCTTTAAGGTCCCTTCCAACCCAAACCAGTCTGAGATTCCATGATTCTAAGATAACTCCCTTATAAAGCTGCTCCTTCCTGATCGTGTATTGACAAGGATGAGGTTTTCCAGAGGCTGAAGCAGCTCTAACCTGGTCAGAAGGCACATGAGCTGCCGGACCTCCTCCCGCATCGTGGCTGCGCCCCGGCGCAAGTTGTAGTCAAAGAGCTCCCGGATGAGGCCCTGGGACACCAGGATGTGCCTGATGGCAGAGTTGGTGGCCAGGGCCCGGAGCAGGGTGATGCAGTGCTCCGTGACAGCCGAGGCACAGCCGTAGCATTTCGTGGATGACGTGTGGCCACAGCCCAGGACAGACAAGGCACGGTACTGGCTGGCGGTGAACGTGGGCTGCACGGTGCTTCGTGACGACTTGGTCGCCGCCTCTCTCTGCTGGAGATCGTATTCCAGGAGTTCCTTTCGAGAAGCAAACACTTTCTGGAAACACAGAGAAGGAGTTGGGGAGTAGTGAGGCAGGTAACAAATTAACATAATTGTTAATTTGTTAATTCCATTCACAGGTTATTTTCACTGTATATTTTGTGAAGAAACATTTTTAACCAAGTATCTCCAAACTCGAAATCCTTCACGGCGATGGCAGATTTGGGAAATCTGCTGGAAATATCAGCCTAACTCCCAGTTATCTGCCGTGTTGTCTATATTACATGCAGTGTAACACTGGAAATGTTATCATGGCCAGTCTTCGCGAACGAAGATTTGGGAAAGGTCTTTACCCTTCGAGCCTGCGCAGTGGATTTCTTAGGTGAGACACAGTGTGCGCTGAACTGAGCCCACCCTTTAATCCTGAGGTTCATCTGCCGGGGTCGAGTGAGCTTGGACAGTGGCAGCGAGGTCCTCAGGACGTAGGTTTGTCTGGAGTGACCTTCTCTTAGATGGATGGCCTTACAGGGCTGACGAGCTCCATCTGCCCGGGGAAGTCCCCTGACCGGGAATCGAACCCGGGCCGTGGCGGTGAGAGTGCCGCACCCTAACCACTAGACCACCAGGGGGCCCAACACTGGAAATGTGATAAATCCACTAATGGCAATCACAACGTTCAGAAATGACTATTTAATTATTTCCCTGAAAATACACAGCTGATCGCTTGTTGTTAATGATATTATTAAATGCAGAGTGGCAACATCCTGATTTCTGATTAACCCACGACCCAAATTCAAATCAAAGAACATCATACCTGGATGATTTTGGAAAGTTCGTCAAAAGAGTTCTTGCAGTCACCACAATACTCCTGGGCTAACTGGAGTATGTACCTATTCACACTCGCTGAGGTAGAACTTATCCCTCCACTGCTTCCAGACTCATCCTGGAACAGAAGGTAAAACAAAAAGGAATCATATATGAAGGCTACACACAAAAATAACTATTTCAGAGCAGCATCCAAGGTAAGGACCTTTGGCAGTGTAAAGGCCAGTGTGGCACTAGCCTGGAGATCAGTGCACGCTCCACCTGTCCCTTGTTACCTGGGGTTTTTCAGGAGCTGCCTCGTTCACTTTACACAGCAGGTTTTCCAGCTGCGGTCGGTGTCCCATGAGCTGGTGATACACCCTGTCAGCCTTGTCCAGGAGGGTGTTGATATTTGTTACTGCCTAAGAAGAAAAAAGGAAAGGTTATTTTATATTCAGAACTACAACTACCAAGCTCCAAGTCTTCTGTCTCTTTTGTCTTTCTATGGGAAAAACATAAATAAATGGTGACCCTGCACCCTGCCACGAGAACCACTTTGCTGACACCACAATGAGCACACTAATCCTTTGGGATAGGACACACAGTGCAGTGGGCTCTTCATTCCTTAGCAGAGCTGCTCAGGTGGGTTGGTGAAGCAAACAGTACAACCCAAATTCATCCCCTTCTACAGCAAGGCAAAGAGATGCAGTGCTAGAGGGTTTGTAAGTGAAGCACTGAATAATGTCTTTTGAAGAATTACTTATTTGGTGGAGCAAGACAACAAATAAGGAATGCATTAGTCAGTGAGAAGCTTCTCAAGGTGCTCCAAGAGGGATGGACCTCTGATGTGCCCACACTGCTGCCCTGACCAAGACCTACAGCATTTCATTGATGAACCTGCTCTTAGTCTCACCTTCTTTCGATCCTCCTCATTTTCAATGGGATCCACTGCACAGCAGGGCTTGGCATAGAGCATGAAGTCAAAGCGAGCGTATTTACAGAACCCACAGGCATTGCACAGGAAGGGATCCTTTTCATCATAGTTAATGGATCTGAAAGGCAAGCCAGGAAGGTCAAAACATGCAGCTCAACTTAACTGAGGCAATAAACTCAACTCTGAACAGACTCAGGTAAAACAAACAGGTGATTTTTAAAACATCTAAGTGACCAAACTGCCCTGGGGAAGTGAAATACATGAGGTCCATGAAAATCAAAACCTACAAATCAGGCAAAAAAAATCCTTACAGCAGTGTCACATTGTGGCTGGAAAAAGCAGAAACAGATGTGAATTTGTTCCCAACAATTCTGCTTGAACGACAGTCATTCCCAGCAGAACATCAGCCTGGGGCACCGTGTCCTTTAGGAGAGCACAGATAAAAGGAACCGTTTTGGTTTGTAAGGTCTGGGTTTTCAATGCTTTCACTCCTTACCCAGTTGCAGTGGGACTGGCTGCAGCATAATTATCCCCTGCAGACCAGAGCAGCAGGACAGAGACCAATTTGTAACTCCTATAATCCAGGAAGGGATGTGGAAACCTTTCAGTTTACCTATCAGTAATCACCTGATCTATGGAAAGAACTTGCTGAACACCTTGAATCTCATAAAATTTAGAGAGGAATATGGGATAACAATAAGGGGAGGAGAGATATCGAATAAAGAGACAAAACTGACAAAAGTGAAGGATTTCTAACCCTGTAGTGGAAGTGTGTATAGAACACAGTAGATTACCCCTGAGACTGCTCTGAATGAGGAGAGCACAACAAAAGCACTGTCTGTCTGAATAGCACTGTCTGAATAGCACTGTCTGTCCAGCACTGAGCAAGGGGTCCTGGAGGGAACCCCCTGCAATCCTGTACTGAACTCCAGCCTCATATCCAGCCAGGCCAAAGCCAACCTCCTCCTGGGAATTCTCTGGTTTGAACTTCTGAGGGCTTGACCTGAAACTTCTATGCTCCCTTCATACTGTGGCATCGGGTTCCCTTTGTTAGTCTGTATTAACCTTAAATCCCTGTAAGCCTGTTTTATACTTCTCCACTAATTTGATTGTGTGCTTTTATTAACCAGAATCATGGATTTAAATAGCAGGGAGGGTTTTGCTGAACATCCAACATGGGCATGAGGGCTCTGGCAAGGGCTGTGTGGGGAGGAAGGAGGGGGACACACCTGCACTTGTGGCACTGGTACACGTTCTCCCCACAGTTGCCGCACACACCCGGGTTGGCCGGGACGGACGCGCTGCACCGGGGGCACTGCAGGGTCTCGGTGGACGCCTGGTAGTTCTCATAGAAATCAGCAAATTCAATCATCAGGTTGGAGGCCACGATGGGCAGCGGCAAATCGATCTTCACCTCCGTCTGGCCCGGGGTCAGCTGCACTTTCTTAGCTTTGTGCCAACGAGCCGGCCTGGAAAAGGGAAAGGAAGCGGCATGGTTTTCCCGGGGGAAGTTCCTTCCCTGCCCACATGTGAAGAGAAGCCAAATGCAACCGTCTCGGCTCCAAATCTACTTTAAAAGGGATGAATGGAGAGCAGTTCTAGGATTCGTTTCCTTAGCTTCTGTATTGACATGATATGTAGCCAGAAATACATTTTAAGCCTTTATCCTCTTCATAGAGAGAGACTGTTTGGGATTAAAGAGCTGTTGATGCCTCATGGAAAAACTTTAATTCTACAGACATTTTCTAGGGATTTTCACCTCCATTTTTTTATTAGTAAGGACATTTGCATGAAAACAGGATATTTATTTCTTAAAGATCTCATCTGCTCCCACTGCTTATTCTCAACCTGAAGTCAGAATCCTCTCTTTGTGACATCATAATCCTCTCCACAGCAGCCACTTGTGATGTCACAGAGGATTAAGACTTCAAATAAGCAATAAGTGGCAGGCACAGATTAATCCCTAAGCCAGAGTGATCTGATTCTGGTGAGAACATCTCGAGAAGTAAGAAGGGAAAGCATATAAGCAGGACTGGCTCCAGAATGAGCAGTGTATTGAAAAGAAGCCATTTTTGGTGGGTAAAGCAGAACTGAGAGTGAGACCATCCAACTTCTAATTTTAATTCTACTCTGTGGCTTCAAACAATGTTAACGCTTTTGGCATTCCTGGACATGCTGCAATGTCCAAATCCTTTTTGGGTTCAAACTACACAACAATTTTATAGACATTTAGGTGCTTAAAACTGAGCCTGTAGAAATTGAAATCCACAAATTGTGTAGACATTTTTCAAGCTTCAGAGGATTTTTTTCAAAAATTGTAGGAGATTCAGAACAATCCCACCCAATGTGGGCTGAGAGTGATGAGGAACTGTCTAAGGAACCTTAGGAAAAACAAGAAGCGAAAGGCACCTCAATGGGAATCGTAATGTCAAATTCAGAGGTTGCACACAAAAACATGGGTGAACATACTTGTTTTTCAGCTCCACTATGGCCTGGACTGTCCTGTTGTTGTAGTAGAGATTGATGGTTCGGACCATTTTGGTTCGTTTGAGGTCCCCAATCTTCACTGTCACCTTGCTGATGGTGTGGCTGCCAATGAGCTTCACCACCTGCTGGGTGGTCGTGTACCGTGTGTCCACTTTAATGGAGGAGAGCTTGATGTACTGAGGGGACAAGGACACAGAGGCAATATGAGAACACCCCAAAACCTCAGGAATACAGTGAATGATGCCTGTAAATGGTTGGGATCCCTACCACTGGAAAGGCTTTAAGAAAGCAGTTACTGCCTGTGTCATGCAGGATGACTGGAGCTGTGTCAGGGGAGGGTCAGGTTGGATCTCAAGAAAAGGTTCTTCACCCAGAGGGTGACTGGGCACTGAACAGGCTCCCCAGGGCAGTGGTGATGGCCCCAAGGCTGCCAGAGCTCAGGGAGTGTTTGCACAACACTCTCAGGGACAAGGTGGGATGTTGGGGTGTCCTGTGTGCTCCCCCCCAGAGCTGGACTGGAGGGTCCCTGTGGGTCCTTTCCAACTCAGGATATTCCACGACTATGATTCCATGGTTACTCACACAGAAGGGCACCTCCGGATTGTTGCAGACAAGGCAAGGATCGCTCTCCAGGTAATAGCCATCAAATTCCACGAGCCCAGACAGTGTGCTGGAATGAGGAGAACAACACTGATATATGGAATTTGGTGCTTGCTGTGTTTGAAACACATGCCATCAAATCAGAATTGCTTTAATTTCCCTACAGGTCCCAGTCTGTGTAACAGAAGTGTTACAATATAAATCACATTGAAAATCATTTGTCACTGGCAGCATTTTTGATGTAGTTATTAACTGCCAAGGTAGGACTAAGAGCACAACACTTAATTCTGCAAATCTCTATTTTCCAGTCGGTCCTAATATTTCATAATTTACTGCCAATGAAAGCAAAAAAGCTAAAGTCAAGCTCTGCTGATGGGGCACAGAATGTCAGGTTTTTCAGCTGGCAGAAAGGATCCTGTTGTTCTCCTAAGCCCAGCTGCAGCAGACATGGAATCTCAGCAGGGCTCCATCCAGCACCACCATTGCATTAGCAGAACTCTGTGTCCCCATGGATCGCAGTTCCCTAGTGACACAGATCAAAGGCAAAAGGAGCTCACTTGTAAATGTTGGAGTTCGGGTGGTTGGTGAGAATGTGGTTTTGAGTCCGGAGAATCTCCACGGCCTTTTGGGAATATTCCTTCAACTGAAATACAATAAGGAAAATACTGTCTTCTCAACACTGTTTTATTGCTACTAAGACAAAAATATTCCTCATCTTGTGGCGTTCCTGGTCCCCCAGAAGATGCACACATGATACCCACAGGAATTTATGTGGTTAAATCATTACCCAGGAATGTGATAGATCCTAAAATTAGACTTGTACCACAATAACAGTGCTGTCAGCCAATCACTGCAAATGCCTGCCAAGATTTGAACAGCATTTGAATTTAAACACCCACATTCAATGAGTCTAAATTATTTGTTCTCAAATCCACCAGTCTCCTAAGAAATGCCACCCCTTCCTTTGCTCAAAAATTATGGTTTCAAAAGATCTCTAGGAGTTGCAATACTGAAAATCTATAAATTGGAGCTGGTAGATAAATGTATTTTCCCACAAAGGCTTCCTGTGGGAAAGAAATTTTCTCCTCGATAAATAAAAAACCCATCAACACCATTTTCATCCTAAAAACACCAAAAACATCAAAGCAATAAAATAAAAAAAATCACACTCCTCATTTTTTTAAGGATCCCGCCTTTTCTAACATTCAAATTTTAGGAACAAAAAAATTTCCACCAGAAGCTCTTTTGACAGAAAATCTGTCCCAGTTGTATCATAAATAAGCATCAACATAATTCACAGGAATTATGTTGATGCAGGACCTGGGATGCTGCACCTCCTTTCTAGAATGACAGTACCTTTTTCTCAGTCTGCTGTGTTTTCAAAGAGAAGTATCCCAGGAGATCTACAAACTGGGCAGCCTTTCTTCCATAAGCTGGAAGTTCTGGCCAGATTGACCACATGAGATCCAACAGCAATTCCTGCTGAGACTTGTTGGAGTTCCTGTTGAAAGGAGTACAGATAATCAGGCTCCTGAAGACAGATGTATAACATGGCACAAGATCTTGCGCAAAAGGAAAACACAAACTACAGTTCACCAAACTTGGGGATTATTATTAGTTAACAGAGTTAAATCCCATCACTCCTCGAAACCAGCTGTTTTCTAGCACTCCAAAATGAAAGCAGCTGTCTTGCAACAACCGAATTGAGTTCTGAAGGAGTTCAGCACCTTGAAGTGTCTTTGCCTAAATAACTCCCAACTTTTTAACTGTATATGAGTCTGCATCTGCCTCAGAAGTCCACTTGCCCACAAACACCTACTCCAGCACATGTGAGGAGTCAGATTTTGCAGATAGAATAAAATGCTTCTTGCAGAACACAACTCAAATTAATCATGAATAAGTCACGACTTCTACCTCCGGCACCAAGAATTGCAAAATGATGGGAGCAATTCCAGGGGAGGCAATAACCTGCAGGCTCCAGCTTCCTTCAAGAGACAAGGACAAGGACAGAGCTGAGCCTGCCAAGGCCACGTTGCCCCAGCTCACCTGTAGATGTGCAGGGCCAGGCAGTGGGCCTGCCACCTCACCGAGGAGGAGTTGGACTCCAGGAGGAAGCAGCGCAGGAACTGGATGAGGGTCTCCTTGTCAGCAAACTTGTTCAACTGGTTCACCAGAGCTGTGCACAGCTGATCTTCCTGACTGCCTGAACCCTCCCCTGCGGGCACAAGGAACACTTCAGAAACAAGATAAATGCAGTATCTCAGAGTCAGGTCACTTTCCTATTTTATACATCACAAAGAGAGGATAATGGGGACAAATTGCTGTGTTTTGGGTATCAAGCAAGTTTAACATTCCCGTCTTTTTCAAAAATATAACCTAGTTCTCCCAACTAACAGAAAAAAATGCTGGAAAACTTGCCACTAAGGAAGTGAGAAATGTGCTACACATCCTGATAAAAAGAAAAGGATTGACCATGAGGCACTAAAATGACTGACAGAGAACCATCTGATAGTGAAAGCCAAAATGGTTCCTTGAAGGAAAGCCAAGGCAGAATTTATGCCCGTGACTTTTATAGGAAAGCTTAATTACTTTCCCAGGACTGTGGATATTCATTAAGCAGCAGCCCTGGTTCCAACAGAGCTTCCAAGGCAGCCAGAGGAAACAAGTCTGAACACAATCGTTGAAGAGCAGAACTAACTGGGTGTGCATCTCCAGGACTTGTTTTAATCCTCATGAGCATTTCAGCCTCCTACAACCCAGGACAGGCAGGTTAAGTGGGAGCTACTTCATTATTAGATGAAGTAACTTCCATTAGACAACTTCAAGCCCATTCAAGTTAATAAACATGGGGGGGTTGGGAAGTCTTCAGCACTCAATTTCAGCCCAACTCTTAGGGCACAGAGCTTCATCTTTGCCCCTTTCCCGTCTACATATGGTGAAATTGCTCTTCTCTCCTAATTGTTGCTGCGGCCTGCGAGTGCCACAGTCCATGACCCTTCCCCAACAGTGGGATTTATCACCACAAGACAAAGCAGCTCTCTCTAAACAGTAAGAGAGGCTGGGAGGAGCAGACTTCCTCCCTAAACCCACCACAGGACAGGCCCAGCTACAGCTCACCCTCTCGCTCCTTTTCCTTTTCCTCTTTCTTGCTCTTTTTAGTGGAGGATTTGCTCTGTGTTGCCGCCTGCCCAGAGCCTGATGCTGCAGGAGCAGAGGTGGAAGAGGTGCTTGATGATCCAGAGGATGAAGTCACAGACAGCACTTTGCTGCCACACAGAGCACAAGACAAGAGCTGCAGGAGAACTGGCGACACTCCTTCATCCACCAGGAAGCTGACTTGGAGCAGGAAATAGAGAACCGCTGTGGAGGAAAGAAGAAAATATCTGAATCCTACAATCATGGAATATCCTGAGCTAGAAGGGACCCACAAGGACCGAGTCCAACTCTTGGCCCTGCACAGGACACCCCCAAAATCCCACCCTGTCCCTGAGAGCGTTGTCCAAATGCTCCTGGAGCTCTGGCAGCCTTGGAGCCATGCCCACTGCCCTGGAGAGCCTGGTCGGTGCCAACCATCCTCTGGGGGAATAACCTTTTCCTGAGATCCAACCTAAACTTCTCCTGACACAGCTTCAGGACATTGAAGCCTGACTTTAAAAAAAGGCAAAAAAAACCCAACCTAAACCAAAAAATCTTTTGACCATAAGGACCAAACTCACAGAACCTTCCTGTCCCTACAATACAGAATCCTAACATGTGGGGGTACACCAAGGTAAAGGGGTTCATCCCAAATTAAACGCTGGAATAATGGCAGCACAAGGAAGAGAACACAGATCTCCTATTCCTGTAAGTTATCAATACACCATATTGTGCTCTTTAGCCAAGGACTAAATGCAATTAGGGCACTGGGATAATTAGTACTGGAAGCAGTTCAGTCCTACTCAAAACTCTCAGCTGTGTCTCCCCTTCTCTGCTGAGCTGCCCCATCTGAGATGCCTTGATTCAAACCACAACACCAAGGCCTCCCCCTCTGCTCCTTCAAATACCCCCTGAGACAGAACTCACAGTCACCTTTAATTCAAACACCCCCAGAGACAGAACTCACAGTCATCCTTAATGCAGAACTTCTGCCAGTTCACCGTGCGCTGTGTGGCAATCTCTGCACAAGCCTTTAAATGCTCCATCTGAAAGGACAACAGGACAGGATCACACATCCCATCAGCCTTCCCGACACACCAACACAACCCGCCCTTGTTCCTGGGACAGCAGCACTTCTCCTCACCAAGGAGATCAAGGTGTCGTACTGCAGGGCAGAGCCAGAGCTCGCCGTCACCACGCTGGCTCGAAGGAAAATCCCTTGCTCTTCCAGGAGCTTTTTGATCCCACGAACGTGGGAGTCCAAGGTGTGGAGGTCCCGGAGTTGCCGGTACTTATCCTTGGAGCCACAGATGAAGAGCAGGAGCTTCCGGACTTGGCGGCGCACAAATGGAGTCTGCTGGATCATCAGATACTACACAAAGAACAGCCATGTCAGCACAGGACTCACCAGGGGACACCTGGCCAACAAAAACGTGTGCTTTCTTCCAAAAAGAAAAGATATGGGAGATGGATTCACCAATCCAACAGATTTAAGGTACCTCACAGTCACCTGTAAGTCACAGGCAGTAGAAACAGCGCACCGCAATACTGCAGCATCCTGAAACCACTGCTGAAAACCATTCCTTGTCATCTACAACCTCAAATAAATAGCTAAACAAGCCTAATTAAGAAATCCTATCTCATACTTGTGTAAACGTAAGATAACTTGTTATCTCAAGGAGGAAGCAAACCAAAGTAATGGAAAAGATAAAAACTCCAAATATCTTCCTGATATTTTTAAGGACTCAGTACCAACAGCCAAACATGATGTTACATTTTACCATTTCAGAGAAGGTTTTCTCTTTGAGCTTTGTGGCAGCAAACACTGAGTTCCAGAAAATAATAGCAACCTAATTTTTCATGTGTGTTTTCCCATAGATTCCTGTTCAATAGGAACAACACAAAGTCAGGGGTTCACCTTCTTTCAAGGGGATTGAAAATCCGAGATGGATGTGAGACCAGTTCTGCAAAAGCTCATCTCTCCCATGAAAGAAATTCTTACTGGAACTATTTTGTTAAAAATCTGCACATTCTTGCCTACCTCGGACAAAAAGTAGAACCAGGAGTGATCAAAGATGGGAGGTGGGATGCGGGAGTTTGTGTCTGCAATCTTCTTGATCTGGTAGGGCAGCCGCAGCACCATCTCTGTCAGGAGCTGAGTGTAGGCCTCAAAAACATCTGCAGCGTGACCCTGAAAGCAGAAGCAACCCATCAATCCCCCAGGCTCTGGCACTGAACACTCCCAGTGTGGTGCCATGACAAGTGACAGGGTGCACTTATTGATTTTTTTAAAAACAAAGCTTTTCTGCACTTTTCCCTTTGATAGTCAATTGATAGTTTAGGAATTGACAGTTTGGGGACTGTGGCATTAAGAATCATATTAATGAAAATTCCAACACAGTCCTTATGAGAAATCTGCATTTAGATTCTATATTTATTAAAGCAGGGATTTACTTCTTTCACACACATACAATATTTAATAATGATTGTTATCCTGGTTCATGGATTCAGAATTCTTCACAACCAAAAGAAATGCTTCCAGCTGATCAATACAACGAGGCCAATATACCTACATTAGGCCTTGAACTGGGCCGCAACTATGAGGATGCACCAAGCTGGTCTGGAGTAATTAGGCATTTTAACATATGAGCTTTCAACTTAGGAGACGTTCTTACATTTAATTAGGCTTTTTTCACTGCACCTGTGCATACATCAAACCCCCCCAGCATCTTGGCATAAAGACACCACGGTAGTGGAACAAGTCTAGGATTTAGTGTGCAAATCCCATCCACTGCTCAGCTACTTTGCCAGAAAGGCTTCAGGAATTCTGCCTGCCAAGCACAAGGAATCACAGGACGGAGAAGCTTCCCTTCAGGATTAACACTTCACCCAGGAACAGTGACAGCAGCTCCACAGAACTGCTGGTGTAGGAGTGCACCAAGAGATACAGTGTGCTGGGCTGCTCTAGGAGAGCTCAGAGCAATCCCAGTTGTAACTACTAAGAGAATGGATTTTGGTTGCACTACTCAGGGAAAACTAGTTGTGCAAGGATGCTTTTCCCTGCTTCTGTGCAGCACCCTTTAATACAGCTCAGAGCACAGGGCAGGACTCACCTTCACGTACTGGCGGAGGAAAAAAGGGCTCATGTCAGGGGGAGAAGAAGTCGTGTGAGGTTTCAGGAGCTGGCTGGTGGCTACTGGCTCCTCATCATTCTGCTGGCTCTTCCAGTAATCCAGCAGCGACTTCAGCACATGCAGACAGTAATCAACAGCACCAGAGCTCAACAAGGCAGCAGCAGTGGCACTGGAGATGAGGGAGGAAGACTGGAACAGAGAGGAGGTGGATCAGTGACATAGCGGAGAACCCTGAGCTGGAAGAGCTGGGAGCACCAGACAGCACTTGCTGACAGTGAGGATAAGAGAGCGGGTTTTGATGAAACTTTGCAGGCAGCTTTTAAGTTTGGAGTTTGTTTGAGGTTGGAGTTTTTGGGGTTTTTTTGTGTTTATGAAAAGCAACTCAAATATTTACAGAGACTCTTTTGAACAAGTGCTTAGTAAAGGAAAACAAATAAAATCTCCTCTTAAGTCTAATCTCCCCTCGACACATGTGCCAGAGGCCACTCTGCTATGGATTAGACGACTAGGGCTTTTTTCCCTTCTCTTTTTTTTCCTTGTTTTTTTTTTTTAAAGTTGGGATTTCTATTTGTTTATCTGGGTTTTGGCCAGCTGGGCATGAATTCTGGTAGAGAAAGAGTCCCTGTTGCAGCTGCCGCTCACAGGCTCTGCTCCACCCAGGTATTGCTCCACCTGCATTCTCAGAGACGAGGAGCTTTGATTTCTGTGGGAAGCTCAAGTGAATAACAAAGGCTGGAGAAAAAGCTACTGTAAATAAAACTATTAAAGGAGCCCTGTAAATCCAAACAAACCCCACAGCTCATAAGCTCATTAAAATTTGATGCAGTTCAGACTAAATTTTTTAACCTCTATGCTTTTTTATTAATCTCCTTCCCACCACACATACTGCTTTTTATGCCTTATTACTGTACCTTTTAGCAACAAATATCTAAGGAATCCTCTTAGCGACTTTTACGTTGACACAGCAGCATATTGCTTTCCAATAATCACATTACAAATCCTCTTTAACCCCTTCAGCACTGGTAAGATGCAAGGGAAAAAATCTGCCTGACCGTTTTAAATAACATCGTTAACGTGCTGCCCCGAGCTCAGTCTGAAACCCTGCACAAAACAAGCGGATCCAGTTGTCTTTACATGTCTGTTTCCTCCATTCTGAGTTTCAGAGATTTTTTTCCACAAGAGTCAAGTAACGTTACAGATTTCTTATAAATTTTTCCAAAGCACTTTGAAGTGTTTTTTCAGTCTTAGACCTGTTATTTCAGTTAGCAGATTTTAGATCTTTTATGATGAACAAAAGACCCCCAAGCGCATCATAGAATCCCAGAGTGGTTTGGATTGGAAGGACCTTAAAGCCCATCCCATCCATCCCCTGCCGTGGGCAGGGACACCTTCCACTATCCCAGGTTGCTCCAAGCCCCCTCCAACCTGGCCTTGGACACTTCCAGGGATGGGGCAGACCACATGCCCTGCTTCTCTGGGCAACCTGTGCCAGGGCCTCCCCACCCTCACAGGGAAGAATTTCCTCCATATATCTAACCTAAATTTTCTCTCTTTCAATCTGATCCCATTCCTTGTCCTGGCACTCCAGTTCCTGATGCAGAGTCCCTCTCCAGGTTCCCTGTAGCCCCCTCAGACACCAAAAGGTGCTGTGATATCTCCATACAATCTTCTCCAGGCTGAACATCCCCAACTTTCTCAGCCTGTGTCCATAGGGGAGGTGCTCCAGCTCCTCCTCTGGACTTGCTCCAACAGTTCCATGTCCTTCTTATGTTGGGGGCCCCAAAACTGCGCAAAGTATTCCAGGTGAGGTCTCAGGAGAGCAGAGCAGAGGGGGAGAAAATCATCCCCTGACAAAGCAGTTTGGAGAACATACCTCACAAATGGAAGTCTTGGATCCTGACTTGGTTCTGGACATGAACACACTGAGTAGCCTCATCACCACCAAGTGCACTTCGTTCACAGGAGAGCGCTCGTTTTTCTTAGACACATCCTGCAACAACAGACACATCCTGCTTGTTCAATCACAGAGCTGAGCAGTGACCCAAGCCTCTCAAGTTCAGTGCTCTGGTCCTCAGGAAGCATTTCAAATTTAACTTCAAGCAGTAATACTAAAAAGGAAGCACAAATGCCTTAACAGAAGCATAAACAGTGGCCTGGCTGCCAAAAAACAGTCCCACACAAATGAAAAGCTACCTATGTCAACCATACATCACTGATCATGGTTGTTTTCAGAGTTTAATTCAAGCAAAACAAATTTTCATGCTCATTCGTGGATGCCAAAAACAGGAAACTGTGAGAGTTCCACTCACGTAATTTTCTACTTTATGTGAAGTAAAGCAAGAGAAGTAAAATGCCTGAACTCATCCACACAGCAGTGTTTGTGTTTGTATGACCCCCACACATCTAATTCCTCCATGGACAGAAACCCTGTCTAGAAAGAGCAAGTTCAGAGCACGTGCACACACCTTTTTGTCCATGCCCAGCTCTGCAATCAGCTGGGACAGAAGGTTATCCAAAGCTCCCTTATCTTTCTCATCATCTCCATCTAGGTCTGTTGTGAGCATCAGAATTACCTGGGAATAAAAATCAGAGAATTATTACAAGGCAGGTTCCATGTTTCCAAGATAAATAAATTATCTTTTAAAAACAGCACAAATTTTATCTTGACTTATCTATGTTCTTTCCTACATTCTGCCTGAGACATCACACCCTAATTTGAACATTCAGTATAAACCCAAAAGATCTTTCCAAATACATCAGAGTTCAATGATTTGAGCCCTCAGGGTCATCAGTCAGCTGTAAAGTCATACTGAGAAAGGGTACAAGTCCAGCAAAAATCTATGGGTGAAGAATGCTCTGCAACACTTTAAAGACACACATTGTGACTGGGCAGGAAAGAGAAAGGGAAAAAGCATGTGCAAACAGAAACCTGAAGTATTAGTAGTGATTAACTGTTTGACTGAGGCTGAACTCCTGACCCTCCTCACTCACCTGCATGTAAGGGATGGCTCGGACCCCTCCAACATTCCTCAGCTGAGGTAAATTCTGCAGCAGCCTCTCCAGCAACATCAGTCGCACCATGTGCAGCCTGGGAAGTCAGAGCCAGCAATCAGACACATCTCAAAACATATCAGACTCAGCAGCATCTCCAACAGAGCACTGCAATTTGCCACAGAAATCCCAAGGGCATCAAATCCTCCCAAAGAGGAGTGGACTTCCTCAGGCTTCCCCGTAAAGTGATGTCAAGATACAGAGCATCTGACAATGGATGTAGTTATTCACTTCAGAGCTACACTGCCCAGCCTGGCCACCTGCAGAATCCAACTGCCTGGAAGCAGATCCTGCAAATCAGCCCCACACTACTCTGTACAAGTGACTGAGCATCTACTCCCATAGAATGAAAAACTGCAGATGTTTCCAAAGTGCTCAGGACACTTGTACACGCTTTTTTCCTAACAGTGAATTTCACAAGCTCACAAGATTGTAGTGATTCCTCTGTTAACTAGACTCATGCAGGACTCTCTCATCACTTCACAGAGGCAGCAGTTCTGTGGGACACATGCTGGGTGTGTGCACCACGTTATGTGGTGATTGCACAGAGGGTGGTCAGGCACTGAACAGGCTCCCCAGGGCAGTGGTCACAGCCCCAAGGCTGCCAGAGCTCAAGGAGTGTTTGGATAATGCTCTCAGGGACAGGGTGGGATTGTTGGGGTGTCTGTGCAGGGCCAGGAGCTGGACTGGATGGTCCTTGTGGGTCCCTTCCAGCTCAGAATATTCTAGCTCAGGATATTACACTTTACGGACTCCATGCTTTTGCAATGTCAGTTGGCTCTAGTCTGTGTTTCTGACTTTCCATTTTCATTTTCCAGCACAAGGAACCCACCATGAATTGCAGCACCTGTAGCCCACTCCTCTACAGTGTAAGCACAGAGCAGACGTGTTATTCCAGAAGAGGAAAGCAAAGCCCCTTGCCTGTTGCTGGTGTGGACATCCCCCTCAGCCTCCCCTTCCCCTTCAGAGCCCTCTCCCTCCTGCTGGCCCGTGGTGGTGCTGATGGCGCCTGTGCTCGAGCTGACACTGCCTGGCCCAGCCGGGTGGCCCTCAGCAGTCGTGTCCCCATAGGCACTGCTTCGGCCAGACACTGGGAAAGAGAGAGAAAAACAGGGAAACACAATGTCAGAGTGATTGACCACGCATCTGGCTTGCTTCACAGCAACCAGCACAGCTGAACTGTAAATAGGAGTCAAGGGGTCTTTAGCTCTCTTCATAAAGCTACAAGAGAATCATTTCTCCAGATGCAGCTTCACACTCCTGCCATTCTTTCATTTGCCATCTTCATCTTTGTGGCCCAAATTGAACTGGTCCCACAGCAGTAACTTAAACCGAGTCAGACAAGGTGTGGATGGGCAGTGCAGACAACTATTTATCTGTGATTATTTTACCCAGGTGTCAGTCCCTTGATAAAAAGAGAGAAATTAATACTATCCCATCCAGAGTTAACCAGCAGTATAGTGAATTCTCTCAGTCTTGCTCTAGGCTACTGCATTCTGAGAAAAGAAGGCTTCAGGTAGACTCATAGCAGCCTTCAGTATCTTAAGGGGGCTTACAAAAAGGAGGAAGAGGGACTTTTTATACAGGTAGATAGTGACAGGACAAGGGGCAATGGTTTTAAGCTCAGAGAGGGCAGGGTTAGATTAGACATTAGGAAAAAATTCTTTACTCAGAGGGTGGTGAGTGAAGAATTAGTACAGGATGACCAGAGAAGCTGTGGCTGCCCAATTCCTGGAAGTGTCCAAGGTTGGACTGGGCTTGGAGCAACCCGGGATAGTGGGAAGTGTCCCTGCCCATGGCAGAGGGTGGGACGAGATGAGCTTTAAGGTCCTTTCCAATCCAAACCATTCCATGATTCCATGATTGTACAGGTCAGCCAAATCCACTGCTGACTCCACACTTCTACAGAACCACAAAAAGCGAGGAAACGCTTGGTCTGTACGGCACTTTGGCAGAAACCATAAAATGATGGATGGCAGCAGCTACTCGGAACTGAGATCTCTTCTCTGCCAGGGATTACCCACATCCTCTCACTGTGGTAGCCCCGGGAGAGCAGAGAAGAGCTGGTGCAGCAGGAGCCACTCACCGCTGTGCTCCCCAGCCACGGAGTCCACGGCACTGCCGCCGCTCTCCGAGCCCACGCTCCCGCCGTGCTCCGCGGGCGACGTCCGCAGGGTTGAGCCGTCGGTGGCAGCTGTGCTGCCCTCGTCGTCAGATGCTGGAGCTAAGAGAATAAAGAGAGCTGTTACAAGTAAAAACACTGCCTGGAGAGAACTTCAAAAGACACACAAGCTATGAAAAGAAAGACATGAATATTTGGTTTTGTTTTTGTGTCGATTTTCAACCATAAACAAAAAGGGAACTCGGTACGTTTAAGCCTGCTAAGAGCAGTGGAGGGGAGATATCCTGAGAGGAAACCTTCTCATCAAATACAGAGGCATGCAAGTTATTTGATGAACAATGTCTGGCTGTTTATAAATGCGAAGGAAATAGAGCACATGTTTTGTTTTGGCTGTTTTCTTTTAAGGCGAGGAAATCACTTCCTCAAAAGTCTACACTGAGAGTCCATCAAAGTAGGAAAAGGCCATAAATACAGTCAAAAATACAAGAAGCCAACAGTAAGAAGTGGCTCTTCAAAACCATATTTACAAACCAATTTAAAGCCATTTTTAGGTCAAAATCTGGAAGAGGTCAATTCCTCGCAGTGAACAGTTACCTGATGCTGTTGTATCCGAGAGCGTCCCGGCATCGAGAGAAGAGGAACTGGGGGCTTGGCCAGACAGTCCCAAGCTCTGCAGTCCAAGGGCACTGCTGCTGCTCCCTGCAAGGACAGAACCAGTCATGAGCGTCCTTCTTTTATGGAATTATGTTAACTCTGGCATTTTCTGTACATTTCATAGTTCTACTGTCTTTGGGTCATTGGTGGTAACACCAACAGCTTTGCTTTTGTTTCATTCCCAGTTTCCCCATATTCCACTTCCCTTTTCGCCTGACAAAGGCACCCATATCTTACCTTGCTGATCTTGCTGCAGGCTCAGGGCAATAGCCAATTCCACCATCGTCTCATCATCTGCATCTGGAGGGATATCCAGCATAGGAGGGAATCCCTCTGCTCCAGCCAGAAGAGCCTCCAGTGGAGAAGGGTTCCCATTATTCACATTCTCAGAAGTCTCCAGAACCATGGATTCAGACTATGGAGAGGAAACACAGCAAGAGCTTTCCCAAACCAGTAATGGAGCATTACAAACTGATCTATCAGAACTGAATTAAATTCAAGTCCTAGCACACCTAAAAGGCTCCAAAGAGAACCTCTGGACTCACCACCATCTCGAAGTCCCCGTGGTCAACTTCACTCTGCTCCTGGCTCTCCTGTCGGATGTGCTCACCATTTGCTATCCCAGAACTCTGCAGCTTGTCTTCTGCGTCGTCATCGTCATCATCATCCTTATCTCCTGAGTCACAAAGGATTCATTAATAAATGCACAATTCCTCACATCAGCCCAAACAATTAATGCTGGGAAAAACTAAGCTACCTCCAATTACCAATAGATTCCATGACACCCACAATTTGCTTCAATATCAATAAACATCTCTTGGATGGAGCTCTGATACCCTACTTTTGGTTTGCACACATCTCTGATTTATAAGAACTTGAAAACATGCACAAAATTACTAAGTCTGGATTACTATCCCCTAAATAAAATAATCAGATTTCCCTATCACTGAACGGGGAATACCTCAGAGAAATGTCCTCTTTGCATCCCAGAATATCAAAGAAGAGGTGACAGTTTATGAAATAAAATGTTAAAAAAGGCATTTAGGGGACAAGACAAAGCAAAAGAAAGGAGAAAGATTGATTTTAGTCCCAATTTATAATAAGACTACTTTATTTTCCTGTCTTTTCTGATGCATGAAGTAGGCAGGGGAATGCATCTGCCATACCCATGGGAGTGTTGCTGCGAGGGGAGGATGGCAAAGTGACGTGTCTCCGCTTGTTCCGTGGTCTCAGCACTCTGATCAAAGCTTGTTTGCAAGAAAAGCTCACTGCTGGATCCTAGAGGGTTAACAGTTAATCATTAAACTTCTTAAGCTGTAAGTGCTTATTCACAGTATTTGGGAAGATGGCTAAAACACCTGTGCCCCTCTGTTGGTCATGATTCATGTAAGACACAAGTCACTGCCTTAACTCCCTGTTTCCCTCAAGAGCCATAAAGCAACACTTAAAATTCCAAATGCAGCACGTGACAAACATTACTAAAATACAAAGAGAGAGAAATTCTCCATCATTCACTTCTGGCTGTGTGTTTAGGGCTGAACAGCTCTATTTTGATTCTGTACTATGTATTCTCATTCTACCTGTATTTAGTTTTACGTAATTACAGAATCACAGAAACATTTAGGTTGAAAAAGCCCTCTAAGATCAAGTCCAACCATAAACTGAACACTGCAAGCCCCCTAAACCATGTCCCCCCCCGTGCCACATGTACACATCTTTTAAATCCCTCCAGGAATGGTGACTCCACCACTCCAGTGGGCAGCCTGTGCGAGGGCTGGACAGCCCTTTCCATGAAGAAGTTGTTTCTAATATCCAACCTAAACCTCCCCTGGCACAGTTACAGGCTGAAGCACAGCAGAGCAAGAGACACACCGGGCAAAGTAACATCTGCATGTAGATCTTGGATGCTGTATGGATACAATCCAGCTCACACGTGCAGTATCCATGGATAATATCCACCAAAGCATTGACTGTGGCTTCAACATGAGTGAGACCTAAGGAGGAATAAAAGTAGGACTGAAATCAGCTCGCTCTCTATTTCAACACGGAATGAGACACTGCAGAAGGATCTTTTGTTTGTAGACTTCGCGGAACAATGTTCACACCACAAATATATTGATTTTCAATCCAGCCTGAGCCAGTCTTGTCTGTCTAATGTAATACTGTGAACTCTATGTACCACCACCAATGAATATCCTCTAACACCACCCATGAAGCCAAATGCAGATAAATCAATCACCAGTCCCTTTTTACTGACACAATACAAGTACTCCAGAACAAAAGCTTTGGAGTAGAATTTGCAGCCGTACATCAGAAAGCACTCAGTGTATCATTAGCACCTTAAGCCTCCTTTGGAACAAGCCAAATTTCTCTGTTTATCAACTTAAAATAGGATCCTTCAAAAGCTTGACAACAGCAAAGGAAGAGCGGCACACCTGGCAGGCAGGCAGGGGCCAGGAAGGCGTTTTTGGGTTTTGATGCATGGAGCTTCCAGAAGTGGTTCACCAGCTGGGTAATAAACGTGCAGCCCTCTCCTTCCACGTGTTTCTGGACCTCTTGCCCTTCTTCACTCTCTGTACAGATTAAAAAACACGTGTCAGATATGTGCAGCGGAAAGCTTTAACGAAGGTATCATCAAGTTTATTTGAAATGGCTTTTGTTAGAGGCTCTGATGTCCTCATTACGAGGACTATCATACACCGAAGAAATGTGTCAAATACAGTCCCTGTCATAACCAAACCCAAAACCCTACGACAGCTTCAATTATGACAACGGTAAGTTAAAGAAAATTATAGACTTATCTACCTGTTTCCAGCTTTGATTCAGTGTAGTGGACCAGATTGCTGGGTCTCATAATAGCAATGGATCGAGCAGTGATGACCAGCCTCTGGAATACTTCAGGATCAAGGTCCTTTCCTTCTTTGGTTGAGGAAGTCAAATACTGAATGGCTTTGCTTAGCAGTGCTTGATCCTATAAAGTGAAAGATAACACGGGCAAAGAAAAACAACTGACTCAACAAAGCAGCTGAAGTACAAGCACAGGACAGATTCTGGGGAAGTTCGGCACTCGCTACTTTAACTCTTGTCATCTAAGGACAACTAATACTAAGAAATCATAGAGTTTTGGTGAAACACAAAAGCCAGCCAGGCAGGTAGCAGGAGTTAAAGGGAAATTAGCCAGCAGGTTTATAGTTTATACTGCATGGCGAAAGGGCTTTCCAGGGCCGTGCCGCACCTCAAGCATAAACGGACAAGTGAGAGGAGCCCCAAAATCCCTGCACCTCCTTACCTTGTGGTTATGGTAGGCTGAGCGACTGGTGTGCAAGCTGGCCAAGAGGCTCTTGGTTTGCTGCTGCACGCTGGAAGGAGCTGGCATGGACAGCAGCATCGTAGCCAGTTCCTGAGCTGCAATCTTATTCTTCTCCTAAGAACAGACAAAACCCATTATTCAGTATATTTATCATGAAGGTGATACATGAGTCTGATTCCCCAGTGTACCTGCAGCTCCCTCCCCTCCTTGCCAGTTTCTGCCTTCCTTCAATACTCTTTCGATAGCTTCCCTTAATTTACTGTTTGACATTTAACAGACATTTCACGCGTCGACAGAAGAAAAGTCCTTTTGAGATTTATGGGCTTCCTACCCTTCTGTTTTTGTAAACGAGGTCACCCTACAGCACAAAAAGCCCACCAGCGCTAAATGCAAATACCAATTGTCATTCTAAACTAGTTTCAAATGCTTTTGGCTAAGTCAACTTTCAGATCAGTGCTCTGAGCAAAACGGATGCAGCTCTGCTCCTATCGGGCCCCCGGGGCTGCAGGAGGTAAGTGCTGAGCTCGCCCCTCCTCCCCCAGCTCGCAAAGCTCAAGAGTGTATTCAGAAAGTTACTTGCCTTCTCGTTGACTGGTCCTACAGCAAAGCAGCTTTCCAGTGCTTCTAAAGAACTCACTACTAGCCTGAAGGGAGAAAGGAAAGCGGGCTTGAGTACAGCAACCCTTCTCTCTCCTTAGCACTTTGCTTTATGCAGGCTACAGTCATGAGTAGCTCAGAGACAGCTAACGAATGCCAAGTACAAAATCAAAGCATGATAAAACCTGCCACAGGCACCATGCATATCATTTCATTGTGTTACAGACCAGAGTTAAACCTGGCTCACGCTCACAGACAAACTTAGGACTGCTTTAATAATCCACAGCTGAAAGACAGGGGCTTTTCTCTCCCAAAGAGGATAAAACATTTCCTTACGCAGCCTGCAGCAGGGATAACTTGGATTGTCTTGACAGTCCCAATTCACCATGGCCCACAGACGTACAGATGACTGCAGATCAAGGCTGGCTATGACACATGGGAAAAAGCGGAACCGACTTTGCTAAGGGAGCAAGATTCTACTCGCTTGCTGTTTTCACACAGGTTGCTCTTTCTAATTTGGAGTTTCAGCACAAAATATTCCACAGGAAAATTAACTTGGAGTACTGGGTTTGACCCAAGTGAGAGATGCTGAGGTTCAAAGTTTGGATAGAAGGAATGCAGGCTGGTAAAACATTTGCCCCGAGGGAAAAGCTGATTTACAACTGGCAGCAAAGTGCTGAATGTCCCTGCAGCAGCACTCCGTGCCTCCAGGTAGAACTACCTGAAATGCCATCTGACACACCAGAAGGAGCAGGAAGATACAGGAAAAAGGAGGGAAGAGAGAGCATTAAGGGGAGAAATAGCACTGTAGGATTGGGTACGAGGTAGAGGGAACAACTGTCTGGTCTGGTGGTGATAAATAACAACCCCCTACCCACAGCCACCCTCCGGAAAGCTCTCAGGGAACATAAGTGGGATAAGAAGGCGCAAGGAAGGAACAAAGCAGAGAGAGGAGTCTGCTGTCAAACAAGCAACAGTTATGCTGCGTACAGCAAAAATCTGCAAACCACCTGATCTTTACATTGGCTAAACCATCTGCCATGCAAATGTCACTTAGAAAACAAAAAGAAAACCCCAGTCAACAAAAGCCACACCATGTGTTCTGTCTCTCTGACACACACGCACTCGTGCAGAGAAAAGGATGGATACTAACCGGTCCAGGGTGGTTAGGGACTCAGTGTCAGAACTTTGGGGGAGCAAAGAAAAAGGAAAAAAAAAATGTGTAAAGCTCACAGAAAAACTCCCTAGAACACATTCTAATCAAAAGGCAAATTAAATGGGGGGATCAGGAAGCCAGGAGAGCGCTCTGCACACTCAGTCTAAGCACAGCTCTCTCTACCTGGGCAGCACACACTGGGCTAAAGCCAAACAAAGAAAGGAGATCCAGGGCACCTGCACAGAGAAGCCAAGCATCACTTAAAGCACCACCCAAGCTTGAATTTAAATATAGACACCAAACTTCTGGTTTGGTGCCTGACAGAAAAGCTACCTCCTGACTGCCATTAGCTGTGTCCACTCAGGAGGCCCTTTAGAAGGTAACCATACTGCGTTCTGTAACACCAAATATTAAGAATATTTTTTTTGGATCTGAATTTTTAGACTATGATCCCCACTGCTCTGGAAAACGCATGTCTGTGTTGAGAGGGACATCTTGTGGGGATGTCACAGCAGAGGAGGGAAGTAAAGGGAAAATAACCAAGGGAAAAAACTCCCGTGAACTATTAGCCAAAATATTAAAAGATGGCTGAACAAGTCCTTCAGCTGGAGCTAACTGCCACTTCAAGCTCTGACCCTTTACCTGAGAATTTCAGTCAGAAAAAATTAACCACCATTTCCTCACAGTTGAGCAGCATATCCCTTTAAAATGCTCAGTTTTCAGCAGTGCTAGTTCCCCCTTGCTCTGTTTCCCTCCTGTCCTTGCTGCTTGCCAGGCTTTCTACAACTCTTATGCACAGACTGCACAAGCTCAGAGGAAGAACACGGGATGAATATAAAACAGAACACAAGTTTTATTTCTTGTACTAAATATATGTCCTGGTTGCCCCTGGGGTTTGGCTCTCAGTAGGGATATTGAGAAAAAACCCAACACTTTCTCCAGCACAACAGCTCAGTCTGAGACACATGGGCCACAAGACAAGTTGGTGGGAACCACAAGCCTAAAGCAGGGTCACACACAAAGCCCTCCTCAAAACTGAGCTTAACTTCAGAGGCCTGACTTTTGTGAGCTCCAGAGAATGAAAAGGGCCAGCTTGAAATGAAAGAATGTACCAAGGCAGTAGAAATCTCTTTTAGCTCCCCAAGGCTGCTGAAACAAATGAACTTGGCAACGCAAAGCAGGCACACAGATCTATGCATCTACTCCACCAGAGAAATCAAGAGTGAGCACAAACCCTCCTTACAAGATAATCCTTGACTTTTCAGTTGTTGCTTTGTAAGACAGTGAGAACAATTTTACTAATTCTCTTCAGTTCTCCCAGTTAAGCACACAAGTGCACCTAAGTCCCCTCCAGAGCAACCACGCATTTTCAAGGAGAAAGAAAGGAAAGACTGTGGAAATACCTCTCCAGGACAGTCCCACTGGCAGCAGCAGGGGCAGCTGACTCTGTGTCTCCAGTGCTATTCCCTTGATTCAGGTTTGGGGGACAAACATTGCTCACTGAAGCAGATGGGAAGTCCTCGGGGGGCTCATCAGGCCATCCAAACTGTTCTTTGGTTTTGCCATAAATTTTTATGGAATCCATCATGGTGACTCCAGCAGGATCCACAGAAGCCCCAACTGCAGTAATGAGAGAAATTTCTTAAGAACTAATAGAGCCATTGCTTTTGAATACAAACAAGCCTTCTCTCAATGCCAGGACAGCGATTACACTGTGTCATTAAAACATAGCCACTCACAGAGTCATCTCCTTTCCAAGGCCATTTTCCTTCTCTATTGCCTCAAAACAAAATTATCGAGCTGAGCTACCGAACATTCATTCACTGCAGCAAGAAACTGGGCCATAAATAAAGTTATTAAGTGTTCAGGGCTCACCCCTCAAACTGTTTTTGTAGTCAAGTCAAACAGGTTGTGGAAATTCCCTACTGTGAGGTGAAGCAGGATAGTTTCAACCCACCCAAACAAAACCATCAGTGAAGTCAAACTAAGCAATTAACAAAGACTTACTGAAGACGGTGAGTTTTTTGTCAGCCTGCAAGGCTTCCTCCCGGGTGAAGGGGAAGTCAAACCAACGGGCCCTGGTCATGTTGAGCTGCATGGTGCGGCCAAAGATCTCCAGGTAGGAGGGAGCTCGTTCTATGGCCTGGGTGCCGATCTGGATCCGCATGCCCGTCATCACCATTGTGCTGTTATTGTTTGTCACTTCGATGGTGAAACCCCCAGGCTGCAGAAGACAAATCACAGCTCAAAAATTCACTCTCAAGCCAAGAATCTGATTCTGTACAGAGGTGTCTCCACTGCTTCCTAATTACAGGATTTGTACAGGTTCATTTGAACAAAGCAGACTCCTAAGACACAGCATGCTGTCAATATGAGCAATGATATCACCCAAGAAGCCCAAAAGAATCCCCGAATCGCCCCACTTACCTTTGTGTTGGCCACGTACATGCCCGTGGAATTGAGGCGGTGCTTTATCTGCTGAGCATTGTACACCTGCAGCAGGTCATTGCCTCCAAACTCCACATCTGTGAGCTGCTGGTTGTGTTCAAAGAAGTCAATGGGGAAGTTCACTTGGCTGGATGTGCGAGTTGCTGGAAGGGAAAAGAGAGGGTCCTGATGAAATACATTCTAAACTGGCAGAAATGTGGTAAAAGAGCTGCAGAAGGAACCTGCCTCCTTCGCAGATGTCTGTACATATTTTTACGTATATTTACGGAAACATTTCACCCAGACTTAGCCAGTCCTTAGCCCTCGGGTTAACTGGTAATTGTCAGAAGTGAATGTTTTAAGTATCTGGATGATGCTGAGCAATCTTTGCACCTCCATTTGTTACAGCTTGTGTGAGGAGCCCCTTACTGATGGCAGCTGCCTTGCGCTTGCGGACGGGCTTCATGATGCTGATGACGCTGCTGGGCTGGAGCGAGGGCTGGAGCCAGTACGAGGTGTTCTCCACATTGGCCATGTAGATCCTCAGGCTGCCATCCTCACACAGCAGGATCATGGTGGTCCTCTGCTGCTCGTTGCAGGCTGTGTGACGGATGGCCACCATGTCCTGGATCTGCAAAGCAAGGCAAGGACTTGGCAACTGCTGCTTGAAGGAAAACTCTTTGCATTAGAGATCTGGTTGATGGAACAACAAGAAAACACATTTTAAGGGCCAAAACCATAGGGAATTCTGCCTAACCTTTGCTTTGGCTGGCAAGGTTTTAATCTCTTGGATGAGGAAGGTGTCTGGCTTCACCATCACCACCAGCGGGACACCTGTGGTTTGCTGAACACAACACACCAAGCCAGGATGGTTCATCACCTCCGACCACTGACACAGGGCTGGAGAAGTCTTACTCCCACCATTAGAACTGCAAGAGATGAAGGGCACAGTGACATTAATTTAACAAGCAGCACAAGCGAAAACACACAAAATACAGCATTCAAACCAGTTAAAGCTCCATCCTCAGCAGGAATTCAAGCATTCCAATTCACAGCCTGATCCCTACCCTGCAAACCTGAGGAAGAACACTTGGCAACATTTTATGCCCCAAACCAAGGAGGCAATTCTAAAATGGCTTTCAGCAATGTTTTTATCTGAACAGATGAACAGTTACACATTACAACATACCCAGCAGCACTAAGCAAAGGCCAAACCAGCAGAATCTGTGTGACTGCTCACCGGAAAAAATAAAAATAGAGCTGCAAAAAGACTAAGTCAAACTTGACTGGGGCTTGGGAGCTCTTGGAACGAGCCTTCTACAGAGCCTGCTCATGACAGTGGTTTTGTGTCAGGCTAGTAAAGAGTCTGTGGTCTAAGTGCCCAGCTCTGTCAGAAAACATGACAGAACAGCTTTTTCTTGCCACATTCATAGCAAAAGAGATTGGTTTCCCTCAAGGGAGTCTGAAAATAAGCCTTAATATGCACAGTGCACAAGGTCCACAGCAGTACTGGTGGCAAAAGGAAACAAAGGTTTCCTGCTCTGCAGCCTCAGTGAGGGGGGGTAATCCCATCAGTTCCAGTGGCTGCACCAGGAGCAGCTCCACACTGTGCAGCACAATGGCTCTGCAGCCACCTTCCTGCTGGGAAATCCTAGTGGGAAGACAAAATGCAGACATGCCCCACTGCTGAAACACCGAGTTCTTGTTTCAAACCATCCCGTAACTAGAATATCCCAAGTTGGAAGGGACTCAAAAGCATCACCAAAGTCCATTAGGGCAGAAGCACCACGAAAAGTAGCAGGAAATCATCAGTCAGAAAGAGGATCTTCAGCACAAGCTTTGGCCATTCAGAGCTGGGATGTTGATGAGTGATATTTATTAATAATAAACAGAAATAAACACTTCAGGGGAGTCTTCCACATGAGCCTCACCTCTTGATGTTGATTGGGAATAGCCTCTGCACTTCCAGGCTGGCCCTGCTGATGGTGGCTGCAAAGGATTTGCCTTGACAGTAGCTGAAGAACAACATCTGCAGCACATGGGAGTAATACACTGACACCCCTCCTCCTGCCACCTGGCCATTGCTGTCCTGTGGGATCAAGAGAAATGACAACATTTAACATAAACTCACATACCGCAAAACACCGTCAGGCTTTTAAATTTATGATGGAATTATTCCCAAGGCCTCCTCTCCTCCCCACCAGCAAGAGAACACAGCACTAAACGACAATTTTCTAAACTGAACTGTTGGGTGAACTCATCCATCAGACACTTCAAAGGCTTTGGAAAGGGATGCTGAGCCTGCAAACCCGTAGGCTGTAGGTAACACCCTCAGCTGGGAGCCTGAACGCCATGTGACAGTCTCACACGGAGCACTCCCCTTGTTCCCAGCTCATAAAAGATCTTCCTGAGGGCTGTCTTCTCATCTTTTCCAGTTTTGAAACAGGCTGGGGTAAAAACACTGGACAGATTTTACAAGTCACCCCCAAGACCAGAAACAAAGGCTCACTGCAGCTCTGCAGCCCCAGCAGTGGTGATTTATCCATTCTGTTCCTGCACCTTTGGAGTGCCTCGCTCCGAGAACTGCACTGCTCTGCAGCCATCTCCCTGCTGAGAAATCCTGCCGGGCATGACTTCAGAGCCAGCCATGGAAAACATGCTCTATTTTCTAGATGAAAGGATCAAGGGGTTTAATTTTCACCCCCACCCCCTTTCACTGCAAGGATATTTCTCTCTTTAAAGGAATGAGCAAGCTCCTTGATCTAGATAAGGGGGCTCAAAGGAAGGAAAAAAGAAAAGGAAACTTCTGCCTTCAAATATAAGATGCAAAAAAACAGAGAGAAAGGGAAGTCACCAGCACCTTCAGGTCCTCGTGGTTGACTTCCAGCACATTGGTGACATAGAATGGTCCATGCTGGGCACTGCTGGCCTCCTCCATGAGCTGTGTATAGATGTACCCAGCTGAGGACATGATCACTATGATGTTCTTCCCTTCCTCGTTGAAAAGGAAAGTGACATCCCTGATTTTGGAACTTGGTAGGAGGAAGTAGAAAGTTGGACTCAAGGCGTCTACAGAGAGATCATAAATCTGTAGAAAGAACCAAGAAAATAATTACTATGACACAGAAGAATTAAGGCAATAATCAACTACCACAATACAAAACAAGACAAGAGCTGAGACAAGGGAATCCTTTTAGATGTTATAGTTAATTGTTCTACTCTTTGGATTCTTTAGTTTTGCTTTTTCTTGCAACAACAATAGCCAAATTTATATTTCCAATTTATTTCTAACTAAGAATATTATCACATTCTTCCACATGCAACTCCACAAGGATCCAGGCTCTGATGTATGAAAGTAAGATATATCATCAACAGCTTATGAGCAGACATACCTTCACAAAGTCTGCAGTCACAATGGCAAGCTCTGTTTGAGATCCTGGCAGCCACACAGCTTTGATGATGAAATTCCCAGTGGCTAGTTGGGGATGAAGTACCAAATGATCAGAGACTGATCCAGAGCTGCTGAATGTTAATACATGGCAGTCCTGGAGTAATGAAAAAAATTGGTCAAATATTAGAACTAAGCATTTTATAAACATTTGAAGCCAAGAATGGAGTTAAAAGTCAGCATTTCTCTTATGCCAATAATGATTCAGAGAGCGAGAATCTAAAATTACTGCATTAAAGATAAATTACGTGATCGTTTGTAAAGAAAACACAAAACCAAAACCACAGAGTGCAGCTGTTTCTCAGCTAAATAACAAATCTGTGGATTCTGCACTGGGAAAGCTGAATCTAAATTTGGGAGAATACAAAGAGGAGTCCTTGCCAAAGAACACTGGTTGTTACAGACTAGTTTTAGCACACTAAGTCTGACATGACTAAACCTTGGCTCTTGTCTTACGTAAAACTGGCCTAAATACAATAAGAAGTACTATATTTCAAGGCACTGTCTCATTTATCATATTATTCATACAGCTCTTGCTTCTTCTGCTTCCTCTGTCGAATAGGAAAGTGATTCAGGAGCTAAATTAGTGACAGAACTTTGGAGGCAGCTCTGTGCCAGCTCCTCAGAGAAAAGAAAGACAGCTGGCTTTGAGCTGATGTTTCCAGCTGCCTGGGAAAGGGTTCGGGAGGCACTTACTTTCAGTCCACACACAGCCAGATAGTCCTCCTTGCAGGGATTCCCAGTGAGGCTCAGGACAGTGAAGGGAACGGGGGCGGACGCCAGGCGGGTGAGGGTCAGTTTTCTTTTGCTGGAGTCAGCTTGTTTCAGCAATGCTGAGAGCTGAAGGACTGTGATCTGCACCACAAAATGAACTGTTATCCAGTTATAACTGAGGGGAATAAGGCACTTCAATTCCAGCTCTATGAATGTGTCCCCACATTTACAGAATCAGAATCACAGAATCAAGGCTGCAAGAGACCTTCAAAATCATCGAGTCCAACTGCCACCCCAGCACCACCCTGATCACTCCCAAACCACATCACCAAGTGCCATATCCAGACACCTCCTGAACACTTCCAGAGACAGTGACTCCACTACCTCCTTGGGGAACTTATTCCAATGCCTGACCACTCTTGCAGAGACTTTTTTTTTCTAGTATCTAATTTGAACCTCCCCTTGGCACAGCTTAAGGCCTTTCTCCTCTCATCCTTTCACTTAAGACATGGCAGAAAAGATGAGCCCCCACCTCATTTCAGTCTCCTTCTAGGTAGTTGTAGTGAGTTGTTCTCACTGTTCTCACTGCAAGAACTCTTTTCCCTGAAGAGTTTTTTCTAAGAGAGGCTTCCCTAAGCTGCAATACGACACAGAAGATCCAGTTCTCCAGAGAGGCAGAACAAATCACATTCTGCCTGTTGTTCAGCGCTGTTCCATTTTCCCTCAGAATGCAGGGTTCCCTGCAGAGCTGGAGAGCTCACCTTGCCCTTCTCGTGGCTCACAGCCAGGTGCTGGCGCCGGCCGTGCGGGGAGGACAGCACACACATGGCCACGCGCCGCAGCACGTGGGCGCTGATCAGCTGCCGGATCGTCTGGCCCTGGTCCCCGCTGTAGTTCATGCGCACGTTCTCAAAAGCACCTTCTTGAGAGCCGAGAGTTGGCACCTGAGTCAGTAAAAGCATCCAAAGTAAACCACTTGGAATTGCCCTATAAAAAGTGACCGTCCTCCCCCCATAATCTAATCACTCCTTTAGTCTCACCATCAACTGGTCTGTCATTTCTACTGACTTGTCCAAAGTATGGAGCTCGTTGAGAGCTTGCTGGGCACGGCTGCTGCTCCCCATGGCTGAAGCTTGCTGGAAGTTGATCTGGATGGCATCCATCAGGAAATTCAGCATCTCTAGCACCAAAGGTGCAAAGGAGAAGTTGGCCTACAAGAAAGAGATAAGTGAGGAACAAAATGCTCCTATGGGAGCCTTCATAACAGCTACACATCAACCACTTTTTAAAGCCTGACACCCTTTTTATGACTCCTCTTATCATAAAAATCAAACAACTTGGCTGATAACCAACACATTCTGCCTAAGATCCTCACCATAAATGATCTTTGTTTAACAGATAATCATACCTGGGACTGCAGCTCCTCTCGACAGCCCTCAACGTTTCTGCACAGGCTGCTCTTCTTGGGTTTTTCTTCGTCAGGGCCCTTCCCCTCACTGATGGTGACCTTGGCTTTCTCAGCAGGGGAGGTGCTGGCATGGCGAATGACACTCTCAGGCACCCTGGGCTCACTCTGGAAGGCGGATTCTTTCATGGTAGAGCTCATCCCACTGCTGGGGGTTCTCTTCACCAAAGCCTGGGAATGACACAGGAATGCTAAGAGCCTAAACCAGACTCAGTTTGACTACTAATGAAATGAATACAGACTGTAATAGTAGCAAGATTAATGTAATTTTAAAGAAATAGAGTGCAAATCTCTTAAGACTGCAATTCTAAAGATACAACAAAACAGCATCCTACATGTCACTCTCCACTCAAGTATTAAAAAGCCTCCATAATTAAGATATAGTTATTTTGTTTGCTGCTAGTGGAAAACATGGGAAAAGGTGTTGTTTGCTGTGTAGCGAATTCTGTAAAGGTAGGTGGAATCCCAGGAGTCACTGGGACAGAGATTTGCCAGTGCTCTTATTCAGTGCAAAAACATTAATTTCCAGGCAAGCTGTAAATTCTGAAGGGTCATTATAAAACAAATACCTTCAAGTCTTATGACTCTTACACACTCATACCCTGACATAACTTATTGCAGAACAGAAAACTGCAAAAGACTTTAAAAGCTGAGGACATGAAAACACTTTACCAGGCAGCTGCCATCTTCCTTGGCTCCACAGTCACAGAAGAACGACCCATATTTGGCGTAAGAAATCTCATGATCCTTGTGACAAACTTTAGCACAAACTGTGCAAACACCAACCCCATCAACCATCTTGCAAGTGTGACAGTGGTACCTGCCCAAAATAAGCCAGGTGAGTTATGAAAGACACTGCTTGAGGCTCACAAACCACACTGGTTTCCTTCTCAATGGCCAGGAATATCAGGCTGAAATTCTGAACACAAATTTCAGATCCTTACCAATGTTGATTCATGAATTCTTTCTGTGTGATGGTGAAGGTACAGAGTTTATTACAGAGAGAATCTTCATCCTATAGAGAAGAAAATTGTTTCAAAAAGGCGCTGCAACTGCAGCTACAGTAAAGTACATGGTACAGAATAAATTCCTCAGACACCAAATGTGCATTTTAAGAATAGCAACACTGAGCTAAGAGAAGGCAGCTGGTATCAAACCACATGAAAAAGAGGGTGACATATTATAATAACATGAAAGGGTTAACAAGAAAAAGAAACAGTAACAAAAATGTTGGTACAACAAAATTAAAACAATGCATTATAACAGCTTTTCTTCCCTAGCCAACAGCACTTCAAAGTCTTATCTAATAAGAGCCTCCAAGAGAGCTACTAGGCCATTTGCTGCTCAGGCTTGGCTCCTCCTCGGAACCAATTAAGGTGAGTGGGAGGGGTCAGGCTCATTAGCAGGTGATAGGGGAGGCATAATAAGAGCCTCCAAGAGAGCGTGAGCGACCTTCGCTCACACACCCCACACAGGAGTGGGCAAACAGGGGCGTGGCACGTCAGTGAGGGCGTGGCACGGCAGTTCCCATAGACAGGGCAAACAGGCAGGGCAGAAGCCTAAGTTATTTCTGCGGCTTTTTTTCTCACAGCTCAACACAGTCATGCCTCCCAAAAAAATGAAAGCTGTTGCTCCTATTACCAGTAGAGGGGTGTCAATACAGACAGAACCCTCTAAAAGGGATGCAGCCACTCAGGCCTCTGGCTGCATAGACTGTTTGAGCCTAGAACTGTTACCAGAGGACAGCGTGAGAAACACCTGCATACGATGTGAGCAGGTGGATGATTTGCTATGTCTGGTGGCAGAGCTAAAGGAAGAGGTGGAAAGGCTAAGAAGTATAAGGGAGAGTGAAAGGGAAATTGACTGGTGGAGTCACACCCTTTCGATTCCTAAGGAAGCCCAGCAGGAGGCGGTGAAGCCCAGCCCCCCCTGCCATCAGGCAGACAGAACGGACAATATGGATGGGGAGGAATGGAAACAGGTGCCTGGTCGTAGAGGCAAAAACACCCCCTCTCGACCCCTTTCACCTGCCAGGGTGCCCTTAAAAAACAGGTATATGGCCCTGGTTTCAGAAAATCTGATGGAGGACAGTCAGGAGGAAGATCTGTCTACAAGGTCTTCTGGTTACCCCTGGTCTACTGGCTCTGTTACAACTACAGGTAAGAGGAAAAAGAGAAGGGTTATTGTAATTGGTGACTCCATTTTGAGGGGAACTGAGGGCCCTATATGTCGGCCAGACCCATCCCACAGGGAAGTTTGCTGCCTTCCTGGGGCCAGGGTGAGGGATATTACGAAAACACTTCCTAAGCTTATTCAACCCTCGGACTATTACCCGCTGTTGGTTATCCAGGTTGGAAGTGATGACATCAATAATAGGAGTACCAGGGTAATTAAAAAAGATTTTAAGGCTCTGACCCGATCACTTCATGGGACAGGAGCACAGGTAGTAATTGGCTCAGTTCCTGTGCTAGCTGGGATGAATGAGGAGATAAATGAGGAGAGGTTTAGGAAAGCACAGCTTACCAATAGGTGGCTTAGAGGATGGTGCTATCGTCAAAATTTTGGGTTTTTTGATCATGGGGCAAACTCCATGTTGCCTAGTCTTGTTAAACCAGATGGGCTTCATCTATCTGGGAAGGGCAAAAGAACTGTAGCCCGTAAGTTGGCAGGGTTAGTTAGGAGGGCTTTAAACTAGGTTTGAAGGGGGAGGGGGCGGCAACTGGGCTCTCCAGAAATAAGCCTAAGGGTGTAGTGCCTGCGTTGAGAATAAAATCAATGGCCCAGCTGAAGTGCATGTACACCAATGCACGCAGTATGGGAAACAAACAAGAGGAGCTGGAAGCCATAGTGCAGCAGGAAAACTATGACATAGTTGCTGTCACAGAAACGTGGTGGGATGACTCACACGACTGGAGTGCTGCTATGGGGGGCTACAAGCTCTTCAGAAAGGACAGGCAGGGTAGGAGAGGTGGAGGGGTGGCTTTATATGTTAGAGAGTCCCTTGACTCTGTTGAAGTTGAGGTCAGCAGTGACAAGGTTGAGTGCCTGTGGACCAGAATCAGGGGGAAGGCCAACAAGGCTGACATCCTTGTGGGTGTCTGGTACAGACCGCCCAACCAGGATGATGAAGGAGATGAATTATTCTACAAGCAGCTGGCAGATGTCTCAAAATCTCCAGCCCTTGTGCTCATGGGTGACTTTAACCTGCCGGATATCTGCTGGGAGCTTCATACTGCAGAGAAGAGGCAGTCAAGGAGGTTCCTGGAGTGTATAGAGGATAATTTCCTTCATCAACTGGTAAATGAGCCTACCAGGGGTAAGGCCCCACTAGACCTACTGTTTACAAACAGAGAGGGGCTGGTGGATGATGTAGTGGTTGGAGGCCGCCTAGGGCATAGTGACCACGAAATAATAGAATTTTCAATCCTTAGGGATGTAAGGAGAGCCATCATTAAAACTTCTACTCTGGACTTCCGGAGGGCAGATTTTGGCCTATTCAAAAAACTAATTCAGGGCATACCCTGGGAAACAACCCTTAAAGGCAAGGGGGTCCAGGAGGGATGGACATGCTTCAAACAGGCAATTTTGAGCGCACAGGAACAGGCTATTCCAGTGTGCCGAAAGGCCAGCCGGAGGGGAAGACGGCCGGCTTGGTTAAATAGGGAGGTTCTGAAAGAAATCAGGGATAAAAAGAAAGTTTACAGACTGTGGAAAAAAGGGCTGGCTACTTATGAAGAATTTACGAAGAGAGCTAGGTCATGCAGGAAAAAAATTAGGGAAAGAAAAGTGGAATTTGAAGTTAATTTGGCTAATTCAGTTAGGGATAACAAAAAGTCCTTTTATAAATACATTAATAGCAAAAGAAGGGGCAAGGAAAACCTCAATTCTCTGTTGGACTTGGAGGGAAATATAGTTAACAAAGATAAGGAGAAGGCTGAGGTACTTAACACCTACTTTGCCTCAGTTTTTAGCAGTAAGACAGGTGGCCCTCAGAACAACTGGCCTCTAGAGCAGATAGACAGAGACAGAGAGCTGAATAGCCCTCCTGTATTCCAGGAGGATGTAGTTAGCAACTTACTGAGCCAGCTGGATCCTAACAAGTCTATGGGACCAGACGGGATCCATCCCAGGGTGATGAGGGAGCTGGCAGAAGAGCTTGCCAAACCGCTCTCCATCATCTTCCAACAGTCCTGGCTCTCTGGGAAGGTCCCAGATGATTGGAGGTTGGCGAATGTCACCCCAATCCACAAAAAAGGCTGCAAGCAGGACCCTGGCAACTACAGGCCTGTCAGCCTGACCTCGGTGCCTGGCAGGGTTATGGAGCAGATCATCCTGAGTGCAATCACACAGCACCTTCAGGATGGACAAGGGATTAGACCCAGCCAGCACGGGTTTAGGAGGGGCAGGTCCTGTCTGACCAACCTGATCTCTTTTTACGATCAGGTGACCCACCTGGTGGATGAGGGGAAGGCTGTGGATGTGGTCTATCTAGACTTCAGCAAGGCCTTTGACACTGTCTCCCATAATATACTCCTGGAAAAGCTGGTAGCCCATGGCTTGGACAAGTGTACCCTCTCCTGGATTAGGAGCTGGCTGGAGGGTCGGGCCCAGAGAGTGCTGGTGAATGGAGCTGCATCCAGCTGGCAGCCGGTCACCAGTGGTGTTCCCCAGGGGTCTGTGTTGGGTCCAGTCCTGTTTAATATCTTTATTGATGATTTAGATGAGGGGATTGAGTCCATCATCAGCAAATTTGCTGATGACACCAAACTGGGAGGGAGTGTCGACCTGCTGGAAGGCAGGAGGGCTCTGCAGAGGGATCTGGATAGACTTGAGAGATGGGCTGATTCCAATGGGATGAAGTTCAATAAAGCCAAGTGCAGGGTCCTGCACTTTGGCCACAACAACCCCCTGCAGCGCTACAGGCTGGGCACAGAGTGGCTGGAAAGCAGCCAGGCAGAAAGGGACCTGGGGGTACTAATTGACAGGAAGCTCAACATGAGCCAACAGTGTGCCCAGGTGGCCAAGAAGGCCAATGGGATCTTGTCCTGTATCAAAAATAGCGTGGCCAGCAGGAGCAGGGAAGTGATCCTTCCCCTGTACTCTGCGTTGGTGAGGCCACACCTTGAGTATTGTGTTCAGTTCTGGGCCCCTCAGTTCAGAAAGGATATTGAGGTGCTGGAGCGGGTCCAGAGAAGAGCAACAAGGCTGGTGAAGGGACCGGAGCATAAGTCCTATGGGGAGAGGCTGAGGGAGCTGGGGTTGTTTAGCCTGGAGAAGAGGAGGCTCAGAGGTGACCTCATCACCGTCTATAACTACCTGAAGGGAAGTTCTAGCCAGGTGGGGGTTGGTCTCTTCTCTCAGGCACTCAGCAATAGGACAAGGGGGCACGGGCTTAAGCTCCGCCAGGGGAAATTTAAGTTGGATATCAGGAGAAAATTCTTTACAGAGAGAGTAATCAGGCATTGGAATGGGCTGCCCAGAGAGGTGGTGGATTCACCATCCCTGGAGATTTTTAAACGCAGATTGGACGTGGCACTGAGTGCCATGATCTAGTAAATGGACTGGATTTGGACCAAGGGTTGGACTCGATGATCTCGGAGGTCTTTTCCAACCCAATCGATTCTATGATTCTATGATTCTATGATTGAGAGCTTAGGTGAAACTCCAAATTCATTAATGAACTGCTTGAGAACATTTGCTAATATGAAGAGAACAATATCTAGGAATGAATAGTCTGAAAAGACTCCAGAGTTTTGCTTTAGGGAGACTCACCTTCACTCGCTTTTATCTAAAGCCAACTATCGGCACCCCTGTTGAGGCTTTCCTTTGTGAATCAGACTCAAGACAGCCTATATGATGAATTCCTCAATCTACTTGTTATCAAGGTTTCTGATCCAGGTGGAAGAGTCAGGCTTCAACATTACTAACATGTTCTTACCTTAGTAAGTGGTGACTGTGCTGGATTCAATGGCTCAGTCATAATTTGAGTGGTTATGCCCTTAGGGTAACCCAGGTGGCAACACTATGCCTCTGAGCTGTGACTGGATCAATTAATTGAACAGAACCATGTTTAACTACTGGGCATAGCAATTATTCTTTCTCTACTAGTGAACGATCAGAATAGTCCTTGACATTTAGAACTTTGGGATTGTGTAAAGTAGAACTCCCTCAAATGCTTCTCAGGCAGAGTTTAGAAGTTAGGACAGTCCAAGTATCATCTCTGGTTGGTTTTGGAGGCTGAGAGAGTTTATAGAGATATATGCCCACTTCTCTGGACCCATTGGCCATTGTGCCTGGGAGAATGCTTCCCCATACTTCATTTAGCAGCACAGATGTAGCCATAGGGAACATTCAGAAGGGAGCTGTGTATCTGCTCCATGTTAAAAAAGGTTTTATCTTCTTTGCTAATTTGAGTAAAAGGCATTGTGAATTGTTTTTGTGTTTGTGTGAGATTCATGTTGTGTCTGAGTAACCCGGTCTAGCAAAAGGTGTCCTAACGTACAGCAGGGTAGTTGAAACCAGATGATCTTGAAGGTCCCAGGCCATCCTGTGAGTCTTATTTAACTATTTTTTTTTTTTTTTTAATATACACTTCTGTGCTTCAG